TAAATATTTTTGAATTGGCAACAGTACTTGCCCACGCATCACACGTTGAAGTCTGCAAATCACGCGTAAAATATTCAACTTGGCAACATCTGTAGGAGGCTAGACTCCTTCACAACGCGCAACCCACGCGCGCAATGCAAATGCCCGAATAGCACGTGTTTGTCGTGTCGCGTCGCGAATTGCGGACAATCCAGGGGCTCTATAAATTTCTGAAAAATGAGTGTTTTAAACGATTGCGATTTAGTGGAATACTTTTTGGTGAACCTATTCAGTGCTTTGTCTTATGAAGATAAATTGATTGTGAAAAACAAACGTTCGACACCGGAATTGAGAAATCTGATTGTAATAGGTAACAAACAAAATCGTTCGTTCAAATCTGATAATTATAAAAAATATATCTGGCTGACGGGATCTGAGGTAAGGAATAAGCTGTTTTGTTGGTTCTGCGTATTATTTTCAACCGATAAGTCATCATGTTGGGGGCCGATTAGGATATAATGATTTGAAAAATTTGCCTCGCGGATTGGATAGACACTGCAAATCACAGGAACACATCTCTTCAAGTATTAAGTTCAGGTTAACTGGTAAACAGAATTTCATTAGAGCTATTGATTTGGGTGAGTAGAGAGTTGTTCTTCACAATAAATCTCATATCATTCAGCCTCCTCTGTCATGAAAGTCACGAGCCGCCACTGGTCACAGTTTACAAAGACGATATTATAAAGGACGAACTTTTCGCTATATAAACTAAAAGTATCAAAATTTTTCAAGAACGGTCCTGGATTTTCCCGATTCTGAATGGAGTCAGTCGATTAGAGTATAGTAGCGGAATATTTCTTCAAAAAATTAGCCGAATCGAAGAAGCTGTGGGAAAGTTATGACCAAAAGATGTTTTTGCTAAATCTCATAATTCACCCTATATATATTGGAAAAGGAGTGGAGAAGACACTTTCTGATGGTATTTCCCTCAGGGGCCTCTATTCGTGGTAGGAGTATGTACAGTTCCTCATGACTCACCCTGTATATACCTACTTACATCTCGTAAACAATCCGACACTATTTTTTTCATATCTCCGAATGATACTCCACATACATAAATCGATGGAATCGAATAAAGTCGATACGGTCGTTAATCAGTCATGTGGAAGCCAGACAGACCAATCAGCCATAAGGTGGAAATCCACTACAAGAACAGATTTTATGCTAGTAACCGGGTGATAAATGATAATTCAACGTCTCGTTGTCTCATTGCACTTAAAATTCCAAGACGTGCAGCTGATGCGATATGCCGCAAGCACAAGCGAATGAAGCAAGCAAACCGTTTGATGCAGAAATTCTGACCGAACTGAAAACTGAAGGGAACAGAAAGTCGCGAATATGTACTTTGCTATCTCACTATCATCTCTTACCTTGCAAAAAGAGCGGATGAGATAATAAGAAGGTTGTCTTTAAATGCATCTCAATAAACCGAATGAAGATCGCAACTTATAATCAACCGGAACACATGCGAGTATTCATCTCTAGTCTTCTTATATATAAAAATGAATGGTTGTCTGTATGTCCTTTATAGAATTGTAAACGGCTTCACTAAATCTGTCTGTAGGTTAATCGAGGAGGTGGTACATACACTCATTATTACAGATTTTATGGATTTTTTTTCCTCGTTTCTATAAAATAAAAATAGATAACAATAGATGATTTGCCCCAATAGTCACTGCGCTTAAAGAATTTGCCTATCAGAGAGCCTAAAAGAAAAATTCACTACCATGTCAGTGACAATTTGTATTGAGAAAGGTTTGGAGAAGAGAAATAAAGGTATATAGAAGAAATATCAAATTTTCACTTAGCTTTGGACGTTTCTGGAACGAATCTGCTCCCGTTTTCAACATAAAAAATGGTTATTTGAATAGCAAATTCGTATCTGTCTCGAAACTTTTCAGTTTCAGTGACAATTGGTGATGTTGGCAATCAAATGAGTTACAGGATGTTTTCATTAAATAATATTGAATATACCATTTTCATTTTCTGATTTCAGTAGTGAATACCATGTTCTATCTATATCAACTCAACAAGAAGCAATGCTATTGTCTCCGTTCAGAAGAATGCAGCAGATTCCTTGATTTTCCACTTCTAGTTGTTATCTTCTTTTCCAATGATTTCAATATTATTCCACTCTGCCATATGTTGTTCGTCTTCAGTAAGGATATTTAATGAAGACCAGTAGACAATTTTCTTTCATGTTTCCTGCTAAAGATCTCCAGCACTTCAATGGCGTCCATTTTTGCCGCAATATCTTGATGGATATGCATTGAAGCCAAATGCATTCAAACGTTCTTATGTCATCCTGTTGCTGAGATATTACTTTAATCAGCAAATCGGTATGAAGATTCTGGAGGGGCTTGGAGTATCACGTTTTCTTTATTAGGATTCCTACATTGCCTTCAACTTTCCTACAATACTCCCAAGTTCTTCCATAATGCCACCATTGAGCCTTACAATTTCGTTGATGAATTTCTCTTCTACAAAACCTTTTTGTATATATATCTGTATATAATCAAAATATTGGATCATTGCTGAAAGATTTGATTTTAATGTTCTCATTGTTTTTCAAGGCATCATTCAGTTCAATATACGCGGTAATAAATCATAAATTGAATGGAATTTCCATGAACATGTCATTCGAGTTTCGGTTCTGCTAGGTTGAGATAGAAAAAGACGAATCGACGATTTCCTTCTCTAAATGGAAAGTGGCACATCGTTATTGTGATAATGAATTGGTAATAAAATAGTCGAGTATACATTATGGTATATTTCAAGTTTTCAAAAAACAATGCAATTCTAGGTTGATATAAAGCTAGCAGAGTCGTTGGTTTTTTCGTGTTGAATGGAGGGTTATAAATTTGAGAATGTGGCGATGGATTAGTAATAAACGAGGTAATAAATTTCCAACTCATTGAGGACTCAATAGAATATCAAAAAACATGTGATTCGAGTTTTGGTTCTGCTAGCTTGAGATTGAGATAAACAAATCGGCCTTTTTTCCATCGAATGATGAGTAAACAATTCGTGATAGTATAGTTATATGAGTTAGTAATAAAATAGAAATGAATTATGGTTGTCGTTGTCAAAAAATACATTTTTAGCAATGGTTCTGCTAGGTTGACAAAGCTAACAGAGCCGTTGTTTTTTGCTCTTGAATGATGGGTAATAAATTCGCGAATATGGTAATGAATTAGTAATAAATTAGTAACAATTGCAAATTGCACTATTGCAAATATGAGATATCGAAGTGGTTCTGCTGAGTTTATTGGGGTCCCTATAACTCTTATATTTTCGAACATTTCCCCAAACAGTCGAAAAATTAGTTGACATTGTGAGTGTATAGAATCACGTCCGGTACCCTTACGAGAGGAGTGTATCAACTTTGGCGTTCGTAATGCCTCTCTACGAAGGAGGGTGTCGCCTTTAAGAGTTAGGTATAAACAGTGGTTTTACACTTTTCCAAATTGTTTGTGCACTTTAGGAAATCAACAGTCGTTTCAATGAAGCTGTGCCCTTTGGAGGATAGACTCATGTTTGCTTTCATAGATGTAGATTTTAATGAATAATATATTGCGCAATTAGAGAAGCATGATACTTCATTAGTTTCGTTGAGTGAACAAGGGAAGAAAAACACAGAACATGATTGATTGTAAACACAAAACTCATATAGTTTTGTTCCTTCGCTTTCAGTGTAGTGTAATATTCACCACCACTGAAAACCATGACCCGTCGGACAGTCTAGATATTTAGCCGTCATTGGTGTAGATGAGTGTTGAGATTTTAGAGGAACAGTAAAGTGAAAATCGTGTAGGTCATTTGTTAACAATCATGGCGCTGTAAAAACATAACGTGAATATAGCATACAGAAATTATTTTTCTCGAGATCTTTGAAGTAATAACTGTCCACATAGCCTTCTTGTTTTCAATTAACATTATTTTCTTCACTCTGGGTGAATATTCTCGGTATTTGCTGTCCATGATGATGTTACTGGGCCCTCGATTGTATCGATAGTACAAAACTATCGATAATATCGATAGTGCTATCGATAGTTTTCCACCTCTACGTTATATGATGTTGATGAACTTGACTACCGCGAATTAGGGATGGCGATCTTCGTGAAAAAGATCGATTCTTGGAATCGATCTAGATCGAAAGAGAAAAAATCGATCCTCGATTAGATCATACAAATACATGAAGTGCGAAAAAGATCTTGACGTCTCAAAATATGATCATTGAATGATCACAAATTGCCAACTAACTTGACAGAACATTAATAATACCCCATTTTATTTGATTAGCTCTCGTGGTTGATTGAAAAAAACTCATTAAGTCATTATAGTCAAATATGTTATTCAGTGTGCATTTTTGTTCGATTCGATTTGATGTGAAAAAAATCGATTCACCTAAGGATCGAACAGAAAGAGATCGATCTTAGAAAAAATCGATTCAAGATCGCCATCCCTACCACGAATACTCAATTTTCAATTTCACCATAATTATTGTAATAAAACTAATGTTTGATTGTGATAAAGGTTTTTATGCAAATTATAAATAAATATCAGTAACAGTCATTAGAGAAACAGATTCATATACCCTTCTCGATGCCATACATTCTGGTACGAGGAAATCTCGCAGCTTACGGCCAAAGGTATCCTTGGAGAGTTCTCGTTTCTGGGCTCAAAACAGCTGATATAGAGCAGCTAAAAAGATTCGCATCAGGAGGATATTGTGACGATTCTACCATTGTATATATGCAACACCCTTGTGTGATTTTAACTGCTCTAGAAGTATTGGGCTACAAAGTAGTTGCATCTTCATCCACCAGTGTGAAGCAGGACTATAATGAATATATGTGGACAATGAGAAAAGACTTTGCTGAGCCAGAACCAATTGTACCACCTGTTGAATCCCATGTTAACAAATTTTCTGTTGGTGAAGAGGAAGTTTGATCTGAATTATGGAAATTCCTGCTAGCCTTCTTGTGACTACAGGCACCTTTGTTTATGTAGCTGTAAAAGGATCATTACATTCTTCTGATACATCTGTATTTGGTCTCTGTGAAGTGGAGGTGAAAGCATTGGTGAAAAGATTTTCCAATAAGCAGAAGGAAGTTATAAATGGAATTATACTAGAAGCCCCACCCATAGTAGTAATAAATGCCCTTAGTCAGCTTGGGTACAGGGTGGTAGCTACTACTGGTGAGGCAGAAGTTGTCTGGACCATGCAAAGGGACTTATAAGAGCTATATTTTTGGTGTTGACGGTTAATTTTAAACAAAATTCACCTCAGATTCTACATCAGGACCAGTTTTATCTATTTCACAAAAAAATTTCTTAGCTTTGCTCTTATTATAATTTTTATTAATCAGTCACTTCATGTTTACTTACATCAAACAAGAATACTGTATGATCTATTAGGAATAACTATTTATATTTATATAATCTCATGATTGAAAATCATTCCTCTCAATCCTCTTTGTGGTTAGATAATTTTTTTTGCAGTTCTGTCATTGTCTAGGTCATTCAGGCATTCATTATTTACTTTTTTTTATTTATTATATTTACTGATATTAATTTGTATCTTATGTTTGATTCTCAGTTATGTAGCTATATCAGTAGGTAAGTACCTACCCCAGTACCTACTAAAGTGGTAATTATAGTTTTTTTAAAGACATATAATATTTTATTGTGCAGCCTAAAGAATGTGCCATTTTATTCATGAGAAAACATATTTTTTTATTCCTGTGAACATATTTTAGGTTTTTTTCCTCCAGATTTTTCAGTTCCTAGGAAATACAAAAAATGTCTTGTGAATGCAACTGTAAATGTTCCCATACAGGGGCAAGTCAGTCTCTAGATGAAATGGAATTCGAAAGAGGGATCTGGTATGCTGCTCAATATGGTGATCTAGACAGAGTCATCAAATTGCTGAATAAATGCAATGACCCAGACATGAGAGATACTGCAGGATACACTGCTCTGCATTATGCTGCAAGGAATGGTCACATGCAAGTGTGTCAGCTGCTGGTTAATAAAGGGGCAGATGTTAATGGGGTAACAAGAGGTGGAGCAACAGCTTTAGGCCGTGCTGCATTAGCAGGTAAACTTGAAATTTTTTGTGCCTTAATTATATACCTTTCCTGAATTACACAGACATTTGCACACGTAGATAAAGCCTATTATAATATTCAAGACTTCCTCCTGGATCAACATCATTTTTCCTTCACATGAATTAACCTTGTCATTATATTATATACTATTTCAATTTCTTTTTTATTTTAGCCATGTTGTATTGTAGGTTTGTGGATTGTAGCAGACTTAATTATTATTTTGATGAGGTCCACACCCAGTTCAGGGTATTTTGACCATATAAAATACCTAGACATTTTTTTCAAGTGAATGAATATCCCCAATTAACTGATTATATTTTTTATAGGTGAGGGACAAATTGTTGATTTTTTATTAACAATGAAAGCAGATCCGTTCATCCAAGATTCAGATGGTAAAACTGCCCTCCATAGAGCAAAGGAAAATGGACATCTTGAAATATGCAGGAAACTGTTGAGGTTTGCTCCCACTCTCAAGGAAGTTAGTGATAACAAAGGCAATAAAGTTGATGACCTGATTTGAATAATACTTCACATTTATATTTATATGTAGTTTGTAAACAAATAATCATCTAAGTAATTTTGTCTATTAGAATGTATGATGCACTAAATTTTGCTTTTTTGGCACATTGATTTTGATATAATAGAGTACAGTACTAAAATGTTCAGCTTGTTTTTATATCCTAGCTTATTTCTAATTGATTGATTAGTGAGCATAGAGCACAGCTGCAGAGACAGGAAATCCTGAGAGTAAACCATAATCAGTTTCCACTAATGTATGTGGATTTGACGTTTTTATATCATATGGAGCAATACATCCTTTATGGAGATATGGAGTATGACCATGACACTCCAAGCAGTGTCCACTACCAAAAAAAAATTGAAAAAATTCAAGAACTGGCGTTCTTCATGACTTCAAATTTGAAATGCTAAGTTAATAAAAATAATTAGATGTAAGATTGTGAAGTGTAGAACTGCAGTAACAATTGATTCAGTTTTTATTTGAATTTTCCATCAAATAAATTCATATCGCAGATATGGAAACAGATCAAGCAGCAGGTGCAAGTGGAATATTGGTTCAACTAACGATTTTTCATGGTAAATCTGAAGGTTGATGCATCAAACACTAATCATGGATACATCCAAAGAAGTGATGATGCAATGATAATGAATGTTTTATGAACCCCATTGATTTTGAGGAAACAATTATTGCAGCAATTATTGTTTTATAATACTATGTTAGCACGTTGACTCAGCCACATAGATATTCGAAGCTTCTGTGCAAAGAGAATTCCACAGATCACATAACATATGCATAAACTTCAGGTTAGGTTAGCCCTGTACTGATGAGAGCCAACAGCTCGAAAATGGTCTGCAGGTAGTCACACGTTCCTGAACCACTGAGACGCAGTTCGGCGTTTAGGAAGGAATCCAATGAAATATTGTGGTAATGACTTTGAATTGTTCTCTCTTTGTGACCATTGCATTCCACTTTGAGTATTTGGCTTTTTACTAGTTGATGAAATTTGTCGTTGAATTCAGGAGTTTTACGACCTGGCACCGGTTTCGGTAATTTTTGGGGAGTTTAGCAAACGGAGCAAACCGCTCGCAAATAAATAGGACCACGGCCGATGAAGCCCGTCATTCATCCTGTCAATCGTTGATTATTATTGATGATGATTGAATATTGATCATTCTTTATCGATTATTTACGATTCACCTTTGAAGTTTTTACGGGCCGATATTTGAGTAGCGTCTCGCATCGTCCCCACTGCTGATGTAAGTAATATTCTTTGATTTGTTTGTCAGTTGGCCCAATAGGTAGGAAAATAGGGATCCGTAATCACTTTGAACGCCACTAATCTTGTTAGGGCCCTCAGGCACCTCAGTGACACCAGGTATGAGGCTAGGTAGCACTAATGAAGGGGCATTTCGCACGTTACCCTGGTAAGGATTAGTAGTGTCTTTTCTTTTACATTTGGCTTTTACTCATGATTGATTTTTTTGGTACCCTTGATTCTTCTTCTACTTCACTTTCAGTTAAACTTATTTTTATCATTTTTATTTGATTCACACGTGATTCCTTTTATACTTATATTCGTTTTTTTTTTCGAACTAGTATGGGTTCCGGGGCACAGGGGGTGCCCGGGAACGAGGTGGCCGACGAGCTGTCTAGAATCGGGTCCGCGACACCGTTCTGGGGACCGGAGCCTGCACTGGGCATAACAAGAATCCAAACTTCGTCTGCCCTTAACAAATGGGCGGACGAGGCACTAGAAGGATATTGGAGGCGTATAGGCGGCTGCAGGCAATCGAGAGACCTGGTGGCCGGCCCAAGCAAGCCAAAGACGGCTTTGGTTACTGGGCAGAGATCGCCAAGTCCTGCGCCTTCTTATAGGGATACTGACAGGGCACAACAGGTTACGCAGGCACCTATCACTCATAGGTGTGGAAGATAGTCCCACTTGCCGTGAATGCGGAGAAGATGAGGAGACATCACTTCACTTCCTCGGAGAGTGCGAGGCATATGGAAGGATGAGATTCGAAATCTTTGGATTAGATAAACTACAACAGGAAGATTTGGTCGAATTAGAGTGGACGGACATCCTGACCTTCATCAGAAGGACGGGAAGGTTCGAAAAGGACAACTAAAAGAGGGATGTGTAGATATGTGGAGAGCAGGGGTTGGCAAAAAGGGCCCATGGGGGCCTACTTGCCTGGCTACAGCCTCCCCACAAAACTACTACTACTACTACTATATTCGTTTTGATTTTGATTTGATTCACTTTGTAGACATTCAACTTTGCTTTACTTAATTTTACCGTGACTCATGGTGGAGGCCACAAGCTATCTCCGTTGACTCAGCCTTGCAGATATCGCAGTTCTTGTGCAAATAGAATTCCACAGATATCATAACATATCCATGAACTTCAGGTGTCATCACCTTGATGAAGGGATCGAGTCATATATGGAATTAGCTACATTTCCTTGACCAATCTCAGACACCGTGCCGTAACGCCAAACTCCAAGTTATCCACATATGTTAATCTCTAACCTGTACTTGTATCAAATTTCATTGAGCCAAAAACTTTTATCTCAAATATGAATTCCTAACGAATTTTTCACGATAACGTAACATTATTGCAAACGATAAGTAGGTATCAGTGCACACAATCAAAATTGAATCAAGTGTCACAAAAACTACGACTTCTTTAATCATCTATAAATTAAACTATTTTATACATCAATATATCACAAGATATGAAATAAAATAATACTGAATGACTAGATTATACAAAAATTTCTATCCGTGAGATCATAGAGCCGTTTTCAAACCTTACAGAATCTCTAACGCTAAATATTTCTGTAATACAGTAGGCAAAGGCAGTGAGGAAATTCGTGCTATCAACTTCTTGGTCCCCATTTTCTTCCTAACAGTTATCCTGCACAGCTCCCTGAGGCTCAAAGGATTCGTTTTGACAGCGACCAGAAAGTCACAGGCGGGATCAGACGACTGCGTCCTCAAGGCGCGAGGTTCCCACGTCATTTCCGACAACCTGAACCCGCCGAAAACCAGCAACCTGACCAAATCCAGGTCGCCGTGCCTTTTTGCCAAGCTCAAGTTATCCACGTAGGCGCGTTCGTCCCTGAGGTTGACATCGGCGCCATGTTGGACGAGAGTAGCGGCGGCGCTTCGGTTCTCCAGTATGATGGAGTAGAAGAGAACGTTGCCTTGGTAACTCGATGCGTTCATGTCGGCTCCATAGCCGACTAGGAGTTCGATCAGTTGCTGCGCACTTTTGGTCTCGCGAACGTCTTGCACGCAGACGTGGAGGGCTGTTTTGCCGTCTATGTGGCTAGTGACGTTTGCATCTGCACCGTGGGCAAGTAGGTATCTAAGGAAAGAATTTTTTATACACGACCACTATTAAAGCGACAAATATTCAATAACTGTTTCATACTCAATGTCTCAAATTTCGAATCGAATATGCTTTTTTGGGTCAGGTTAAAAATTTTATTGAAAGATATGATATTTTGAGTGAAAACCAACATGGTTTCCGAGCGGGAAAATCAACTTCCTCAGCGCTATTATCATTCTTCAACACAATCATTGAATCTATCGAGTCAGGCGAAGGTCCTGCTGTTATATTCTGCTATCTAAGCAGGGCGTTCTACTGCGTCAATCACACAAAGCTACTATCGTCTCTGGAAAACTATGGTATAAGGGGGCTGTCCTCAAATCGGATATCTTTTTTTCTGAGAAATCGTAAACAATATTTGCCTGGTTACAACATTCCACAGACGATGGAATGTCAAAAATTGACTCAGAATCTATTTCTACTGATATGAGTGTACCCCAAGGGTCCATTTTAGGACCAATACTATTTATATTATACATCAATCAAATTGACTCTGTTATTGACACAATGAAGTATACTGCTTATGCAGATGATTTCTCTTTGATTGTATCTGCACCTGATTCTTTATCTATGATCGAAAAGTGTAGTGATACAGTAACCTTTGCATCAAACTACTTTAATGATAACGATTTATTTTTTAACGTTGTAAGACGCAAATTCTACGATTTCACCATCGCCAGATTGCTATTGAACTACTTCTATTTCCTTATAATAACCAGAATTTGAAGAACACCAGTGACCCCATAAAATTTTTAGGCATTAACTTCGATGAGTGTCTTGACTGGAAACCTCAATGTTCTCAGTTAATTTCGATATTTCTTTTCATGAATCTATGTTTTGTGCTTCTTGAAAACAATCAGTTATTTACTTTATAAAATTCTTCTGATGGCCTAAGGAAGTGTTTGGGATCACACGTTCAAAGGTAAGGCCCCCGTCATTCCTTGCTCGCATAAGTCTCTTGATGATTTCTGTGGGTTGCTCGTAAGGGGGCAACCGAATGACGGATAAGCACAATTTTAGAACAATATTTTTTCAGCTATCTTTTATACGTTTTTCGGTTGTATGTTATAGGTTAGTAATGTGCTAACTACCGTATGCTGCAGTGCCAGCTACCTCGTTAGGCCTGTTAGAGTCCCTCTAGGTAGCATAGGCCTGCTCTCACTCTTAGCCGGTAGTTTTTCACAACCACCTACATATTATATCTTCCAACTTATTCTTCTCTGGTGCTCACGATCATATCATTTCTTCTGTGCAGGCATTGCTACAAACTCCTTTTATACCACTTTAGGAGCAGCACTATTAATTTGAATGCAATAGTGAATCATGCGGAACCATCACCAGCCGAGTCTACGAATTTAAAAAAATAGCTTGCATAGTGAATTGAAAAAGTATCTGCTATACCGGGTAATCGATCTCGTGACCTTTAACTCACAAGACCGATTGCTTACCACTCTTCTCCGGTTAGGAATGGTTATTTCAAAACCGTTGTGAATGGGTTTTGAATAAAATCTTGGTAATTTAGTATCTCTGAACTGTAATGAAACACGATGAAGATATATCTTTGAATATAGTACCAATAACAAAATCTTACCTTGCTATGGATATGTTTTTTCTCGAACATGACAACATTAGTGGAGTATATCCCTGATCATCTCTAGTATTCAACATGGCACATGAATCAACCAGCATTTTGACCATTTCTAGATTATTATTAGACACTGCCGTATGAACTAAATGATGGGAATGTATGATCCTGGCACCTCCTTCCAACAGCACTTTTGCCTAAAATGAATGTATTTGCAATTTGTTTCATTGTATCAGATACATAGCCGATAAAATCATACTTGGCCAAATCAACATAAATGAGTAATTCAGAAATAATTAGAAGAAAATTTCGGAAAATTTATACAGATGAATATTTTTTTGACAAGATCAAAAAATAACATGAGTAATGAAAAATCTAAAGTGAATTATCTTGTGTTCATATTACTCACCACAGGTAAACTGTTCGCCCAAACGGCTAGACGTAGTGCTGTAACACTACCTGGTTCTTCATGGTTAACACGGGCGCCTTTTTGTATCAGGTATCTCACAATTTCATCACAACCTTGACGAACAGCTGAGGTTAATACTGAACGTTCCTCAATATCAACTGCATTTATATCTGCACCTAAAAAAATAAGGTAATGAACAGACTGAAAATCCATATTGATTTTTAATATGGATATGAAATTCTCCAGTTCATACAACAATTGATAAGCATCTTTGATAATAGCATTTGATAGATGAAGACAAAAACATTCAGTGCGGTAAAGTTCGAGCTAGTGCGACGAGTGGAAAATTGTATAAGTTAAGGAAAAAAGATCAATTAACTTTACAACTCTTAATACCTGCTTCAACAAGTATCCTGATAACATCTAACCGAGTACCCCTGGTAGCCACATGAAGCGCACTCTGCCTATGTCGACCTCCAATAGCCTTCACATTGGCTCCTCTCTTCAACAACCACCTGACCATTTCGCCGTCTCCTTTGGCTGCCGCCATGTGCAACGGGCTGATAATATTATAAAATTAATATTTTTTCATTGCAATATACTGTTTAAAAATGTATTTTCAATATCCGTGATGAAGAAGATTTCCTGTATTGTTATTTTTATTTCAAGGTATCCAAGGTATTTCATTAATATGTTTCTTCACAACTTTCGTTTCTTTGGTATGCTACGGCATCAGTCGATTGTATCTAAATAGTCTGAGCCTCACTGGACATGACAGCTAATTGAAGATACACTTAGCCCCGCCCAGCCTGGAACATATTTTTGATAACTGCTGACGATTTTTTTATAGTAAGCACACACTTGTTACCTCCACAGTGACTATCTCAAATTGTCATAATTTTTGTGAAACGTCAGTTCTGAATAATGAATAGACGTTTCCACGAATAGAGAAATTGAATGAAATAATACAAAATTGTGATCTGTTGATTCCACAAATGAGTGGCTTTGCAAAAGATCAAAAATATTTGGCTAGATAATGTGAAGAGAATCATTTGGGTATACGGACAGATTTGTGAATAATTTAAACCAAAAGTATGACTGCTTGGTGGAACGACCTGTTTAAAAGAAAAAAAAAAGATGCAGGGGTATTCCCAGAGTTTCATTGTTTAGAACGTTGAATCAATTCCGTTCAAAGCTCATTTAATGGTGAACCAAAGTGAACTAAAGAACAGAGATTTTTTGTCAGTTTTGTTGGTCTGTCGGAAAAATAAATTGAAAAATAGCCAGAATAGAATATTTTGCAATCTATGGAAAAATATGGTGAAACCATAGCCGTGGCACTTGATATCTCCAAGGCATTCGATCGAGTCTGGCACCACGGACTCCTCGCCAAGCTTCCATCTTATGGCTTGCCTCCCCAGTATTCTGCTAGCTAGTTTTATCTCGAAAAGGTTTCTCCATGTAGTGGTCACGGAGTTTCATGTGACTCTCTTATCATAAATGCTGGTGTTCCGCAAGGATCAATTCTAGCACCAACACTATTTCTACTCCATATCAACGATTTCTTGGAAGCAACTTACACTGCTTGGCGGATGATAGTACCCTCCATACTGCCTTCTTTTCCAGGGCTCCAATACCAGCCAGGCGAATGAGAAACGAACGAGGGAGAAATGTTGACAACATAAACATGGACTTTGCAACAATTCTCGAATGGGAATCCAATAACTTGGCAGATTTCAATGCAAACAAAACACAAGCAAGCCTTATCTCTAGAAAAGCCGATCTCACTGTGCCCAACATAAGCTTGTCAGGAATAACCATACCTTTGAAGACATCCATTTCAATGCTTGGTATTACTATCAGCAATAACCTCTCTTGGGAAAATCACGTGAGATTAATTGCAAAATTGCATCCCAAAAACTTGGTTTTCTGTTTCGGGCTAGGAGCTATTTCACTTCCAGTCAGCTGCTTATGATCTATAACGCACAGATTCGACCTGTCCTGGAATACTGTTCCCATATTTGGAGTGCAGCACCCAAACATACCCTGAAACTGTTGGACTCTGTCCAAAAAGGGCTATTCGTCTCGTGGGTGATGCCTCGCTCACAAACTCACTCACTTCTCTGGAACACCGTAGAAAAGTTGCGATGCTCTTCTGAAATATCAACAATTGTTCCTCCCTTGGCAGTCCCCGCGAAATTAACCCGTCGAGTTGAGGCCTCGCACCCCTTCGTGGTCACTTTGGAGACCTGCAGAACATCTCTTTCGAAAGACTCGTTCATCCAACGAACACCGAGGCTCTGGAACACATTGCCAAGGAAGGTGTTCCCCGAGGCATATAACCTCACACCAATTCCTACCTCATTTCCCTTGGTTCTCACGATGTTCTCTGAACATTACAGGATATCCTTTTTCGTGGGAACCAGAACATAAAAAAAACTTCAATGCATAATATTCCTGGAGTTATAATTCATAAATAAGAATTGCACTAATCATAACCTCAACCTTCTTGACGAAGTGGATGGACTGATCTGATCGTTTTATTTCATCTAAAATGAACAAGCAACGATACACAAGCAAAGTTTCATCATCAACACAATGTAAAATTTGTCAAAAATGCTTTCTTTGAAGGGAAATAAATCGTTCCATCCTGTATAAAACAAAATTCGTTCACTTTTGGTAAGTAGCATTAGTACGGTTTATTTACCCGCTCTAATATCATTGATACCATGGTAACTGTTTGAAAGTTAAACATGAAATTCTTTTTTTTGTTCTAACTTCCAAGGTCAATAACTCTGTAACGAAGCACGATAGACATTTTTTATATGAAGTACTAACATCATTTTGGCTCAGCCCTATCATCTATCATTTACGACATGAGTTAGAGTTCATCGTGATGTTGATTTGTTGAGAAAATATCTCTCTAGCTCTTGGGCTCTAGCGCCTTCAGGAAGCATTTTTCGACACATGTTTTCTTATTTTCATCTGCAGAATCACCTCCCGGAGTACCTATCCGAAAGTTGTTCTGGGACACCCTGTATATTAATTTTTTACAAGCTCCACAGTGAGATAAAAACCTCAATATAGGAAACTTCCCCATTCGAAGATCAAACCTGAAACAACATGCGTCGTTCTGGTTGACGGCCGAGCCGTCACCGAGCGCCGCGACGACGCATTCGACCATCTCGACGCTGCCCGAGTTGACGGCGTAATGGAGGACGCTCTGGCCATGGCGGTCGAGCCGGCCCAAGTCGCGCTCCGGTGACTCCAGCACCAGTGACGTGCGGTTCAGGATGTTGGCGTACCACTTGTACAAGTTCAGGTCGCCGTCGTCCAGGCATGTCTCTTCTGAAAACATATTAATCATTCCAGAATTACGTCATTTGACATGTTGCTGAGGGGCAAGATTTGTCATATAGAACCAGAATTAGTGAGATCGTTTTCATTGGAATCCGATATTGTGGATGTGGCAGGGATGGCCAGGGCTATGCTGATCAAAGGTAACCTAACAGATAGTTTGTGTGCCCCTCAAGAAACCATGTCCAAATCGCGTGTTCTAGAATGCTCAATAAGGAGGTAGTTGGTAGTTTCTCTCTTGTTCAATAATAATTACATAATAATATATCGTTTTCCACTCGCCGATTTACAGAGAGCACTAGCACAGAGCAAGTACAAGTTACACTGGCCCGTTTTTTTTTATATAGTGCGGTTCCAGCATAGAGCAGTGGAATTGAAATCGAGAATTGGTGCAACTCAAGGCCGCAAGCGTCTAGCTAGACCAGTGAATCTCCAAACATCGAGGTTAAGTGACGTCACCCACAAAACATGATATTTCTTACTTCTTTATATTGAGGCACTACGAACAAGCGATAGCTTAGTGGTTTGTGTATCCGACTTCCACGGTGGTGACTGGAGTTCAATCCCTGCGAGGCGTCAATTTTTTTTTCACCCAATTAATTTTTCAAAAATATACTTTTTAGGAAAATGGTTCATTTTGGACAAGTTGGGTCCTTTTTCATGCAGACGAGATATCTTCCTTCCTCATATTACCTTATGTCTTATAAACACGAATAACCTGATAACCTTGAGCTAGACGCTTGTCTCAAGGACCTTCTTGTCGTTGTCGTACATGTCAGAACTATTTTGTCATATGTAATATAATGAACTCTAATACCACAAGTGATACTATTTTGCCGGAAATATTCGGCGATTGTTACGACAGCTTGTTGCCTAATAATTTCGCCGATTGACATTGTTTATCAAAACTTGAGCCGTAGGCGAGAAGTTTCGGAACAATGTCGTAGTTGGTAGATTCTCTCTTCTTCAATAATGATTGCATAATAATATAGCGTTTTCCACTCGCCGATTTAGAGAGAGCACTAGCACAGAGCAACTACAAGTTACAGTTGCCCGTTTTTTTCATTAAGTGCGGTTTTAGCACAGAGCAGTGGAATTGAAATCGAGAATTGGTGCGACTCAAGGACGCAAGCGTCTAGTTAGACCAGTAAATATTCAAACAACGAGGTTAAGTGACGTCACCCACAACACATGATATTTCTTAATTCTTTATATTGAGGCACTACGAACTAGCGATAGCTCAGTGGTTTGGGTATCTGACTTCCACGGTGGTTACTGGAGTTCAATCCCTGCGAGGCGTCAATTTTTTTTTCACCCAATTAATTTTTCAAAAATAAACTTAAAAAAAGAGGTTCATTTTGGACAAGTTGGGTTGAAAGTACTTTCCTTTTTCATGCAGATGAGGTATCTTCCTTCCTCATATTACCTTCTGTCTTATGAACACGAAGAACCTGATAACCTTGAGGTAGACGCTTGTCTCAAGGACCTTCTTGTCGTTGTCGTACATGTCAGAACTATTTTGTCATATGTAATATAATGAACTCTAATACCACAAGTGATACTATTTTGTCGGAAATATTCGGCGATTTTTACGACAGCTTGTTGCCTAATAATTTCGCCGATTGACATTGTTTATCAAAACTTTTGAGCCGTAGGCGAGAAGTTTCGGAACAATGTCATGAGCGAAATTAAAGCAGCAAGCTGAAGTATGTCAATCGACGGATATTTCCAGGACACATAGTATCACGAGTTGTATTCGCATGAGTATTCCATGATTGAGACAATAAACGAGCGGCTCGCGAGAGTTGCGGACACTGCATCCATCATTCTGGTTTCCAACATAATTGACTTATTAAACGTCCAAAATTTTGATGCTGAGAGGCCACCGACTTATAGACTAATCTAGACCGTCAATTCTATAAGGAAAAAGGTGAGCCACTCAGGAGATCGAACTGGTGAAATTGATTCATGCGCATTTACGTAAGCATATCGAGAGAAATAGGTTACGAGGCGTCTGCCATAAAAGATGTGGAACCATAGATAATATAGTGAGAAATGAATGAAATATGCAGTATTCAGGTCTCATAGCTTCCAATACTCAGATTTGAGAAGTCTATTTCAAAAACGGCGAATTTGCATAATTATGGTTCCAATGTCTTGGACTTGCATCAGAAATATGTCTGGTATGAAATTGTCTGAACATAGTATTCTTAGATCCAATGGTCTCCTAATAGCCTCAAACCAGTCATTTCTCTTATCCTTAGGAATTCTAGTCATTATTGAATGAGTAAACGTTCAATCCAAAATAGATGAGCAGCTGAATGATTATACAAAACATGCATGATTCCATAGATCTAAATACACACTTTAGATCTATGATGATTCCATTTGATCTGAAGACTTGCTCAACAGATGAGAGCAAATTAAAAAATAAAAAATTCTTCATTACCCACAAACTCACCGATGGAAAGAAATACCTTTAGTATTATTTATTAAACATGGAATTCTTACAACAAAGAACAAACCACTGCATATTTCCTAGAATTGAAAATAAAACGAAAAAACTAATATCATCACTTAATTCTGATAATAGAGAGTTGAAGTAATCACTATACGTAGACCTCCACGTAGACGTTGAGGTACGAAAAATAACGTTTACATATTGTCGTTAAATTGAGTTGAAGTCGTCACTGTCATCATAACGTAATAATACATTTTGTTTTCGGTTTGTATTGGTCATTTTTGGTTGTGTGTTTAGATTCGAACATTGATTCCTGTCAAAATGAGAGGACTCCTTGATGCAGAACTCGTTGGGGATCCCAAATTTGATCATTTTGACTCATCGGCATATTTCGAGTATAGTTTTGTTAACGTACGTTGATATTTAAGGTATACGTGAAGGTACGTGAGATAACGTACACCCGTAAGCCCACTAACAACGCAAACGTGAAGAATTGAAAAACGCGCATGCGTAGCTGTCAATTTCTACGTTTACGTTAACGTTCATGACAACACTTCAACTCTCTATTATATTCTTATCATTCTTATCAAGCCGACCACTGACATAAATAAAACACTTAAGACGACGACATCCGCCTTGTCGCCGCCTATGAACAAAATGGGTACTAGGTTGATTTCGATAACACGTCAAAGTCATGAACGACAGCTTGGGGGTTCTTGCGTGATGAGCAGAAGCGTTTTCGGGCGAGCAACTGACCCTATACATTTTCGGGTTGCTGCGATATGACTACTAGCAGTCTAGATATAGTAATAAGTATACGTGTGAAAAGCATGGAAGGTTGGTCACATGTGGGGTGTGAGTCAATTCGGCTTCTGTATTCGCGATAGAAAATAACACGTCGCCCCACCTGACGGCAGCAACTTCAACACTTCTGAGCGGTTTGTTTTGATGATATGACCAATGAGCACAAACGAAAAACAAATGTGAACCAATGAAAACAAAGTAAACATGCCGCTTTGACAGCTTTCAAGAACTCCGATAGGTGGCGTACGCTTATTTTCTATCGCGAATTTATCGCTGTAATACAGAAGAAACCGTGAAGATGGCCGATTCTGATTAATTCTAGAGACCAAGAGTTGAATAGCCAGTCAAAACTTTAGATTAAAGATGTTCTGGTCATTGTCAGTGATTTGGCATTGAAGTGTCGTTTAAGGAGTTAGTATTTTTCATCATTACTGAATCAACTTTTAATACCTACAATCTGAATAGCTTCCTATAAGGTGATTTTGAATATTCGGTAAATGCTATTTTGTAACGAAGTACTTCTATCTCAATCACCTTCTCGGAAATTATGGCAGTAAACTACAATGAGACATTCATAATCATTAAAATTTCAAATATTTTCCCACTCGAATATTTTTAAGGCTATGTTTATCGCACTGTCGCACAATCACGGTTCCGAAAACTCGGACTTTGAGCGAGTATCGAGCGAGTTTTGTAAGCCACTGGAAAAAATTTCGCTCTTGAAATTCTCATTTTCTAACTAGAAAAAGAGGTGATAACAGGCAATGGGAAACTCCAACTCAAACTACAACATATTATACCATAAGTATTAATTCAGAAATCTATAATTTGTACCTGCTGCTAATGAATTATTATTATATAAATTATTATTTTGTGGAGTTACAAGAGTTAACAGGACGTCTAAAACTCCAGTATTTTTAAAGGGCAGTTAGAGATTAGAATATACACAATCTGACCAAATGCAAATGAGTAAACTCTACTCCACAGAGTACATTATCCAATGCACCCAAGAAAGGGTTCACTATAATACACTATATACATTTATGAAGTTATTTCCATTTTTTTTTTGAAATGTAGAGGGAGGGAAGGTCCAGAATCCATACAAGTGATATTTTTTGAAAAAATATTCCATGTACAATTGTACACCACTGGAATCGGCGTCCTCAGAAATAGATCTGTAGGAAGTTCCATGAAAAAAATTGTAATATTAACAAATCTACAGCATGTATATGGATTCTGAAAAAATCAGCTGGTTGATGATGAACTATAATCAAGTCACTATTTTGACAACTTCAGGCATATATTTTTTGGCTTTTGTTATTCAATTATCTTACAATGGATCAAAAAAACAAAAAAAAACAGGTGATGGTCAATTGTTTTCAATACCCTATCAAATGGATGAAATGGATATTTTTTTCCTGCTAAGCAGTAAAAAAACAACCCATTTACCCCAGAATACACCTTTAATCCCTCTACATTTAAAAAAAAATCATGAAAATCACTCCATAAATGAAAATTTTATCAGGGTGGCCTGTTTTCAAATGGGTCACTTTGTTATATTTCAAATCATTACATATGTTAAAGGAAATGAAAACAATTTCAAGAAAAATTAGGACTCATATGATACACTTATGAAAGAGAATATTTATCAGAGGTATTCTCCACTTCAAATTTGCTAGAATTCACCCAACCATATAGGAGTTAAGTTATACAATAAGCTTAAATGTATCTATGATAAAGAATATATCAATTGTGATGTCCTTCAGAAACAAACTTAAAACATTCATCAACTGAACATATTTTTAATGATGTAGAGACGTTTCTCAATTTTTAAAACAGGAACCTATTTCAACTTTTGAAATTCAAATTGTATCTTGATATTTATTAATTATATATAATATAATATGCCTATGTTTTCTTGACTAGTCCAATAAATATGCATTCATTTTTGGTCTGTATTGATTGAATTCATGTGTATGTTTTTGAGATGAATAAACTAATTCTGATTCTGATACATGCTAACCTGCTTGTCCAAACAGACATGCCACAAAAGTGAGTTCATTAGTTCTGGAATTGAACAGGTTGAAGAGGGTTGAAGTTGAAGAACTGGTTGAGTGCTTAGTAATTTGAGCAGAACCTAGATTCATCTGATAACAAGCCTAGCCCTAAAAGTTCCACTCCTTTGCTAACCAATTAGTGTGTAAATGACTATTCAAATAATATTTTTTCACCTGCAGGGAAACTGCTCTCATTGACTTCCATGTCCCATTCCAATGCTTCCATACCATCAGGAGTAGGTCCATCTCCAAATTCATTTTCTTCTGCATCTCTACAAACCACAAAATAACCAATATTTTTGAACCTCTTGTGGCCTACTGCATCAAGTTGCAGAAACTGTGGCTTGCAAAAATTATCATTTTTGATATCCAATTTCATTGAGGAGTTGTGGTAATCCAGTAAAACTTTGAATAATGATAAGTTCCCAGTTTGTGCAGCTGCTCCAAGTAAAGTCATGCCATTTGAACAAATCTTGTTTATATTAATACCTGGAATTGGAAAGTTAATAATTATGAAAATAAAAAACACTGAAGCAATTGACCTCTGGATAAAAAGCAGGTTACAAGGGTCATATCATTTTCATATACAGCTTGCATAAGAACTTCATTCGAAGCGTCCATTACTCCTAGTTATATTTATAATCATATAATCATCCTTATGACCTTATCAAAGATATGAATAATGATTTTGCCATCATCAGAAATCAGATTCACCAAATCGCCAAGAGGAATTATAAACATCTCAATCCCAATCATAATATAACCTCAATTTCAGAATCAATCAAAATCACGAAATGATAAATAATAAACGTCAGTACGTGTCAGTTCAGTTTCGTTTCATGCATTTCAGGTGTCAGCACGTCCGACCACAACAAGAACAAGGGTCCATGCGTGTAACAACAGTCAATGAACTCAGAGGTGGTGTAACAACAGTCAACAGTCTCTGTTTGTGCGGTGTTTCATTAGTTGCGTTTCAAGTGGATCTAGAATCTTACTCCACTCCTATATGAGTTAGGACAAATACTTCACCTTCATCCATAAGTCGATAGAAAGATAATGGAACCGAGCAAACTATCAGAGGTAATAGCATGCGTGCTCCCAATACTATCCATTATAATATTGTCAGAAATCAGCGAGATCCAATTGCTTAGTATCTTATGTATAGTATACTTATAACACCACGACTATTCGAAGTAAATTGGATATTGGGAAACTCATGACCAGTCGCTGGTTTATGGTCTTGTTCCCTCTTTTGTTCAATTTTTCTGTTCGGCCTAAAACGAAAACCGTTTTCAAATTCCGTTGCTGAAATGTGACATATTTTTATCTTACCCCCAAGAATTCAACAGAACAGATAGTCAACAGTTTTCTCCCCAGATAACACAAAGACGTTTTGATAACCTTTTGAGGACGTCCTAATAATGTCCTTAGGATGTCGAGAGGTATCCTCAAGACGTTATTCTAGGACATCCACCTGTTACCACTGTCTACATGCAAAGGACGTCTCAGAATATCCCGATAATATTCACCAGAGACGCCCTGAAGACGTCTCTGGAGCATTCTGAGGAAGTTCTGAATGATGCCCTTATGTTGTTGTGAGGTAGCTGCAATAACTTCCACATCTGTTACCGTTTTCTTAATGTAAAATGACTTCTAAAACATTGCATGGTCGACCTGAAGACGTTTCACAGACCTTCTGAGGAAATCGATTTTCACATCTGGATCAAAGAAGTGTTGGGAGGAACTTGATACCAGAATGAAAGATATTTTTTCTAAAATTTTGATGAAATATTCGAAATGAATTGAATATAATTCGTTGATTGAAATGAATAACTTATCATCGGTGCGCTCTATTCAGTCTGGTTTCCTCTTCTGTACAATTTTGCCGTCGATTAATATCACGTCGCTGGCTTCGATCTAAAACATAGTTGGTATTATACCTCGAATTCGAAATATAATGAGAATTGAAATCATTCTAGTTACATGGAATAAGAAACTGAAAAATATATGAAAACTTTTTTCAAATTCCGTTGCTGAAACGCGACATATTCTTCTATCACCAAAAAGTGAACGGAACAGATAACCAACAATTTTCTCCTAAATGAGAAACACTGTATATACCTAACCCATCAGGCGCCTACCCCGGTTGCAACGAGGGTTTACCGATGCCAAGGGTTGATACTCTCCCCTCGTAAGGGTACCTGTCGTGTCTCCATTGAGACATAAAGGTGACTATCGAAAAATGTTCTATGATATATCGCCTTCCATAACAAATATAAAATTTGAAAGACATATTCGAACTGAATTGAATTTAATTCGTGAATAGGAATGAAAAACTGGATTCTAGTCTGGTTTCTTCTTCTGTACAATTTTTCCGTCGATTAAGATCACGTCGCTGCTTCGATCTGAAACATAGTTGGTATTATATTTCGAATTTGAAATATATTGAGAATTGAAATCATGAAAGTTACATAGAATAAGAAACATTCCACAAACACTCCACGTGCAAAGATGTTCCATTCTGCAGCTTGCTATATACAGGGTGTCCCATAAGCCATGGATCAAAAGAAGTGGGGTGGTAGGGGGGATCATTTCCAATCAAACTAACCGTATATGTATGTGGTTATCCAATTGTTGATGGTTCAAAGGTTATCAATGTTTTTTTCATTTCTATAAGGAGAATTAATTACAATAAATCACATTTGTGATTTTTCTTTTACAAATGTCATCCACATGGATGCACCTTTTTCCAGAAATAATTTTATGTATTACTTCTTTACAATTACCTCCAAAAAAAATGTGTTTTCCTTGAGTTTTGTCATCGAATGATATTTAAGTCGATTTTTAAATGGCGCTGGCAGATTCAAAAACTACCCCACAAAGGTGACCAATCATAAGAGAAAGTTGTCTATTCAATACAGATTCCGAAATGGAATAACATATGGGGTTATTCAAAACAGCATTTTTGTTATTGATTTCTTTCAAATGGGTCGCATTTTTCAGAAAAATTGAATAACTTTTGAACCATCAACAGTTTGATGACAACATATACCGTTAGTTTTATTACAAATGACCCCCCTACCTCCCCACTTCTTTTGATCCATATTACTCATGGGCCACCATGTATAAATGGCTAAATATTCGACCTGATGCGATCATATCAATCGACATAGTTTCAGCACTCGCGATGTGAGAACACTCCATCACAGAGTATAATAAAACGTGAAAAATGACAATAATCATGAGTTTGAAAGATTTTTTGGTGTGGTGGTACCACAAATGTGCATTCACCAATACTTAGAAATTACAAGTATTCACCATTTTGGTGCGTGCCTTTCATATTTTTAATCGAAAGCATACAGGGTGTCATTTAATTGATGGCTGAAAATATAGGATAAGGTTCCTCAGTTCATTTCAAGAAAAAAAGTTCATATGAACATTTACACTAAACCTCTCAACTTTCAAGCTGTAGAGTTTTAACAATTTAAGAAAAAAATCTGTTTTCTCATCATAACTTCAATACTGTTCTATAGATATTTTCATGAAATTTGACAAGCACCTACTAAGATATATCTTTATCGAATTTTCATTCGAGTATAAAGTCAAATGAATGAATTAGCCAAAGTGGTTTTCATGTTTTTACGCGTTGGACTGATGAAATTCAAAGAGTAAAATTGTTGCAAAATAAATGGGGAAGTATATACATCATTTTTAACATTTTGAATTTCGATGCAATTCCATTAAATTTCATGTGTTGAAGAATGGTAAACGAAATTTCGAATAGTTTCGTATAGACGACTGAGATTAAGATCGTAGCGCCAGAACGGCGAATGTCGGTACTACTCTATGGGCCATTGGCGGATTGTTTACATTGTTTGGTAATGGTGTTTATGTTCATTTCGTTTTGAGTTTTCAAACGCCCAGCTTTGTTATTTGTCTATTTTCGAACTTTGTATTTTCCAGTGGTCTACTGTGTTTTGATTGAGGACTATATTATCTCTGTTCAACATTAGATAACCTCCCTACCTCTAGTTGAACTTCATATATACCAACATCATTTTTATCATTATTGAACAAGAATTCTCATGAAAACCTGTGTGGGATGTTGATTTCCAATTCGAATATATAGCTGGGATATTCCCCTGATAGTGCATGATATTTTTAAAACAAAATCCAGCAAACTTTTTGGGAATAAAGTGTTCTTTGGTTTGGAAGGTGAATTTAGGTAAACAGTTTCTACTTGACTTTTTACAACATAATCATCGAAACCCTGATTGATAACATTCTTTACTGTTTAAAAATTCTACTGTTCATGAGTAAAGATATAATCAGTTTGAAATTTGTTTGTTCTTTTACCACCACCTCAAGAAGTAGGTATTATATTCATAATAGACATACATTTGAAAATATACCTATAGGTATGAGTAAATTTTCAGTGAAGTGTAAAGAACAATATCTCATTATGTTCAGACACTTTACACTTTTTCCAATCTTCAAGTTATGAATCCACACCTTTCTCCTACCGATCACTTCCTTGTTTCCCAAATTATCAGTTTCAAATACAAATTCAGACTGTCCTGATTTTTGAAAGGAATGAAAGCTATACTCGGGATTTTTTTGCTCAAGTTGAACAATGAGGTACACAACAATGATAACTCATGTTTTTGAACGTTTATAGAAGTTCTCAAACAAAATTATAGACAATTAAAACACAACTACTTCTCATACAAAATACACGCAAACTAATGTAAACAAAGCAATCAATGGCCCATACGTTAGTTATATTAGACAACGGTAGAGGGAGTACTCCTTAGCATGAATCGCCTATACCTTATATGAATAAGTCTCTACAAAATGGCGAATGTTTGGAATATTTGTATCAATATCCATCTAGATCCTCTGTTTTCATCGTTATATGGAAATATACCGAAGCAAAATACCAACCACATGATGAATGCCTCCATATACAGAGTGTTTCAAAATTCGACCGACAATAACGCTTGACAGGTGATAGCCCTCCTGATTTCATAATTAGATAGCAATAAAAATGATTGAATATCTCACATTCAAATTCGGTATATAGTAAAAAAATCTTTTTTCATTTCCAGAATGTCATTTCGGACATTTTATTCTCTACGCCACTGATGAAATTTCGATTTTATTCAATTTCTCGAATTCATTCCTCAATTTTCTTTAAAAAATGCATCACCTTCAATTAAGCTAAAATCAACAGTTTTCCAGATATTCATCTCAAAATAGAAGAATGCATAATGATTTTTCATCATATTCAGTAGAAAATTGCAGAATTATTTTTCTGGTGGTAAGTAGAAGAGATACTTTCCAGAAATCATTCTATAGCTGAACAGATATAGTTATTTCATACAGACAAAAAACAAACATTTTAGTATTTTTATACTACTGGAAATGAAAAATTACTAGGCAAACTTCTATTTTGGATCAAATATCTCGGAAACTGTTCATTTTAACTCAGTTGAAGGTGGTGCATTTTTTGAACAGAATTGAACGAGGAATTCGAGAAACTGAAAATAATCGAAATATCATCAGTGGCGTAGAAACTATTGGAGGAAAACTACCACAACCCCCTGTAGCGCACCACTGAATGAAATGTTCGGAATGAATTTCTGTTGAAAAATTACCCATTTGAATATGAAACCATATACCGAATTGGAATGCAAAACATTTCATCATTCTTGAGTTATTTCGAAAAAACTATTTTCATTTCTTAACTTCCACACCCTGTATCTCGAGAACTGAACACTCGAAGACCGTATGTCACCATCTCAGTAAAAAAAACACTTACCATCTTGAAAAAATACAACTTTCACACACTCAAATGAAAATACAATCACTAAACCGAATATGAATTCCGATATTCCACTCTTAAATACTTCGAATTCTTTTTTTATAACCACTCGAATCGACCGTCAACCGTGCGCAATGAAGTCTAGAACGAAACTGCTGTTTGATTTGATTCATCATTTAACTGACTAATTTGTTACGTCATCCTTTCAACCGATTAATTCCCGAACAAGTATGACTAATTCCAATATCGATAGTAGGTATACGGAGTGGTGTGAAAAGAAATTTAAGGATATTTTCTTTCATTTTCTTATCTATACGAGGTGTTTTTGAAATTAGTACACATATTCTGCAAATCAATGAAATATAGGCTAACGGATATTGCCAAGATATCAGATTTTTGAAAATTCTTCTAATTAACGACAAATTTTATCTTGGAAATTCAATGAAATTGGGAAAAAACAAATAACGCCACCTCGAAGCAATTTGAATGATTGAACTCCAAGTGATTGGACTGCACGGACATCTGTGAGAAGAAACGACAGAATTTCTACAGTGTAGAACTTTTGGTGGAATCAGAGTCTCACCTTGGATTTTATTTTTTCTATGGGTGTCATTCAAAAGTAACCGTCGAAAATATTTAGGGTTTGAAATATTTGTATTTATTTCAATGTCATTTGTCACCTTGTATATTAGGCTGAGTTAAGTCAGATTTTTTGAAAAAGTAGTTTACTTTTTTACGCAGGAAGGTTATTTTCCTTCTGTATATACAGGGTGATTCACTAAGAATGGGAAATATATGAACTACAGCTAGTAAAAACCAAAATATTAATATTTAACCCAACATGCCATATAGAAATATTGCAGATACAGGGTGTTCAAAGAAAGATTTCATTTTAATTCTTTTTTAGCTTTGGTCGAACATATTTACTTTGAAATTCTGTTTGTTGTTGGCGTTGTTCGTGATTTCCATCATTGATCACTGTCTGTTTTTCCACTGTCAGTTCGCTAACTTTATAATTTAAAATTATTAAAATGTTAACAGTGAAACATAGATCTCTCCAAGAGCGAATAACGCATAAACCGTTCGAGCAAGACATTTTGAGAAAGAGTACAATTTTTTTGTAAAATTGAACGGGTTTTAATATTTTTCAATTATTTTGATCATCATTCAATTGACAAAAAAGATATGATGTAATTTACCAAAGTAAAAGAGTGCCACTAGCTCCCTCTATGAGCAATCACAAAATGAGTTTCAAATTCGTATTCCTCATGTCAGAAAACCTGGAACTATACTATATATTCATGCTCATGCTGTTAAAACTTACAAAGTTATTGATAAACTTGAGAATAAAATCTCCGCTTAGAACACCCTTCATATCTCCTGAACCAGCAAAATTCTCATCAAGCATGTTAGATATCTACATGAATGAATGAATGAATGAATGAATGAATGAATGAATGAATGAATGAATGAATGAATGAATGAATGAATGAATGAATGAATGAATGAATGAATGAATGAATGAATGAATGAATGAATGAATGAATGAATGAATGAATGAATGAATGAATGAATGAATGAATGAATGAATGAATGAATGAATGAATGAATGAATGAATGAATGAATGAATGAATGAATGAATGAATGAATGAATGAATGAATGCATGAATGAATGAATGAATGAATGAATGAATGAATGAATGAATGAATGAATGAATGAATGAATGAATGAATGAATGAATGAATGAATGAATGAATGAATGAATGAATGAATGAATGAATGAATGAATGAATGAATGAATGAATGAATGAATGAATGAATGAATGAATGAATGAATGAATGAATGAATGAATGAATGAATGAATGAATGAATGAATGAATGAATGAATGAATGAATGAATGAATGAATGAATGAATGAATGAATGAATGAATGAATGAATGAATGAATGAATGAATGAATGAATGAATGAATGAATGAATGAATGAATGAATGAATGAATGAATGAATGAATGAATGAATGAATGAATGAATGATAACCACAGTATGTAACATTTTTACCGTTTCAGCAGACTGAATTTTGCCATCACGTTATGCAATACAGGGTGGACGAAACAGAATCCATGCATATTTCCAACTTTGATACCCTGTATCTCATTAGGACGTTTACTATATTCTTGAAATCGGTCCAATAATCGCCCCCTTAAATATGAGCATATCATCAAAGAACACCCTGTGTACTTATAAATATAAATATAAGTAATCGAGCTATAATTGTCAAAATACAGACGGCTGACAAGATGTCACCGAAAATAACATGAGTCAAATTGAAAAAATGGAAATCAGAGATGAATGAAAAAATCATCAAATCAATATTTGCAAGAATTAGGAAGTGGAACAAAAATCACAATTATTTTAATATGAGATCCATTGCTGAAGAATCCCAAGAGGACCAAAGGCAAGAAAGTCCTCGTAAAACAGCAAATTTTTTATCAACGATTACATTCTGGTGAGAAATCAGTTTCTGCTTACAATTTCGTCATCTCAACACAAAGGGTTCCGGAAATATTCACAGAAAAACATCATCTGGGGCCCTCTTTCAGATCGCTATAACTTACCAGAGGGGGCATATTCCTGGGCTCACTTTTTTTATTATTTCTTACTTACTTACTTAATCTTTATTTTCCTTTCAGACAAATATTAAACTGTATAGGAATCGTCATAATATAAACTTATAATCTAACTCAATCTAGTATATAGTAATGACAATGAAACAATCATGAACGGAATAGAAGGATTCCAACAAGAGATATTTTTTCAATATTATTTTAAAATGTTTGGTTGAGGCTATACATTTGATGTTTCGTACGATTTTGTTATAAAGCATTGGGCCCATGTTGTTTGTAGATATGAATGTCAGCGTTTTTGTGGTGATAGGTAGGTGTAGGTTATCTTTTGATCTTGTGTTAAATTATTTATGTACTTGAGAATTTTTCACAAAATTTTTGTTATTATGAACATGTACACACATTTCAAATATACAGTGCTAGTCAAAAGTCCCCTCCCCCCCTCGTATCTTTTGAACGGGTATACTTATAATAATGGCCTTGTGACGTCATTTATGACTATTGCGTCACCTGTTATGACCAGTTGAGAAGCCTACATCCGTTTATTTCCACCCTCCAAATTTCATTATTATAAGTATACCCGTTCAAAAGATACGAGGGGGGGAGGGGACTTTTGACTAGCACTGTATACAGACATGCAAGTGTTAAAATTTCCAATTCTTTAAAAATAGTTTTACAGCGTGATTTGAAAACCATTGCTCTAATAATTTTGTTTTGAGCCATAAAAACCTCACCCGAGTGAGCTGGCCAACCCCATCAAAAGCAAATACCGTAACGTAATCGTGATTCGACTTGTCCGTAATACACCATCAGTGTAGTTGTTGGCGAGTTAAAATTTCCCGCAGATTCTTCATAAGGAAATTTTGAGAGGATAAGGTTCGAGTCAAGCTATCACAATGAATTTTCCAATTCAAAGTATTGTCCATTCATTCTATTCCTAGAATCTGTGATTGAAATATTTCTATGTAATTTCGGGATACCTACCCTGTATATAAGATTCAATTCATTATCCATTTCAAAAGGTTCATCAAACCAGAAATTCATCAAATTCGTAAGGGAGTAATTGCTGAAATATACACTCAGTTCCAAAAAAAGTGACGCACTTGATATTTGACCTATCTTCATAAAAAAAAAATAGTAGGCTGATTTTTTTTATGTGTTGGTAGGTAATGCATTACTCATTGAAAAAAAAAATAAACAGGTGGACATTTTCTCAAAGCCTCCTTGATGGTGGTGGAATAACTCGAACCATGATTTATTCTTAATTTTTGACTCACCCTGTGTGTTAATTGAGTAATGGTATACAAAGTGCTTGCACCCTATAGAAAAGAGGCTTCTTTTGCGAGCATTTTGTTTTTTTATTCATCGATTCATCTCTACAATTTTCCGAATTACAGCTTTTTTGCTGATACCTTACGCTTATCCCACAAATTGAATTTATTAAAGGATCGGAGTACTCAAAACTGATTGGGTTATTGTACTCTGGTAGGATCACATTGTCTTTAAAAAAACAAATGCCATTGCCATAGCAACTAATTTGTTGTATGCCTCCATATTTGACCATTTGTCGTGGTGTCATTAATTTTATTGATTAAAATTACATAAAATGCCTCGAATAAATCCTGAACGGTAGCAAGATTAGTTGGGTTAGTAAACGATGGGTGTAGTAAACGTTACGCCGCTCGTGCAGTGGGAGTTCATGAAGCAACTGCTCGTAGAGCAATCCGCAAGTACGAACAAACAGGAAGCACCGCTCGGAGGGTCGGTTCTGGTCGCCCCCGAAAAACTTCTCCAAGAGATGATCGCTTCTTGAGATTGTCGATTTTACGGAATCGATCAAATACTGCGGTAAATGTTCAGCAAGATCTTCGCCAAATTCGTGATGTTGTAGTAAGTAAGCAGACGGTTTGTAGACGTCTAAAAGAAGTTAATTTAAAAGCTAGGAGACTTGCAAAAGGTCCCAAATTATTGCCCGAACATCGTGCTGCTAAAAGAAATTTTGTTGAAAATTATGGACAGTGGAATACTCCTGAATGGTCGAATGTCTTATTTACGGATGAGTCAAGATTTTGCCTGGTGAACGGTTTAATGAAAATGTAATAACAGAATGCGAAAGTTTTAATGGTGGGTCCGTTATGGTGTGGGGAGGGATTTCAATGAATGGAAAGACACCCCTTCATGTTTTTCCGGTGAGGCAGTCGATGAATGCCGAAATTTACATTGACATTTTAGAGCAGTATGTCTTACCTCATGCAGAGTTGGTGGGCAATAATTTTATATTGATGCAGGATAATGCCCGACCACACATTGCAGCAATAGTGCGAAACTTCTTAGAAGCTACTGGTATTACCACATTGCAATAGCCTGCCAGAAGCCCCGATATGAATCCTATAAAACATTTGTGGGATGAATTAGGGAGAAGGGTACGTTCTCGTTCGATATGAATCCTATAGAACATTTGTGGGATGAATTAGGGAGAAGGGTACGTTCTCGCGAGAGTTCTCCGGAATGTCTCGCAGAAATGGCAGATGCATTAGTGGAAGAATGGGATCGTATACCAATGGAAACGATAAGAAACTTAATTTCCAGTATGCCTCGTAGATTAGAAGTTCTCAGAGTTGCTCGAGGAGGCAATACACGGTATTAAGCAGTCATCCCAATTTATAATTTTGTGTCCAATAAAAATGTTTCTTAAAATTATTGGTATCAGTTTATTTCATTTGAAAATTGTTTCTCGATAAATTCAGAAAGTTGGTAATCTGCAAGGATTCAGCAAAAAAAGCTGTAATTCGGGAAACTGAGTGTATTATCCATCATGAAAATATTATTTGAAGGTATAGCCTCAGACTATTTCATGAAGGCAGAAAAAGGGATCTCAACGAGGATGACCTAACGAAACCCTTGGATGCCCACAAGTCACAGATTCTTGGTGACAAAATTGCCAAAATATGGGCTCAAGAATATGATGATGCTATCGAACACAAGAGGAAGCCGAGTATGACGAAAGTCATAATGAAAACATTTTACAAAGATATTCTGATATATGGGCTAGTTCTACTCATCATGGAAATGGGAATTAGGTAAGTATTAAGTATTTTTATATATTTACCTACGGCCACCATCAGTAGCGCATCTAGGATTCAGTTCTGGTGGGGGTAAATATGTTGTAGTATCATTTTTTCAATACAGAAATTTCGTAGATACTGAAAATGATACCAAGAACTGAAAGTTGAGACAGATGTGTGAAATTGAAATAGAAACAACTTTTTTTCGTAAACTTTTCGAACAAAATTTGATAGGTGAGCCTATTTTCAGCGATTAATTTTGAAGAATGTTACTTTATTTGACATTTATCACGCGTGCACCGGCCGAGTAGGTCATTTTCTATCTCTTTTTGAAGCAAAACTGAATGGTCAAGTCGAATTTCAAAATTTATTATTATTGAAAGTTTATCCCATATAATTTCTGAAAGACAGTACCTATAATGAGAATAAGTAGGTAATAAAGTATGAGATATCCTATTTTGTCCATCTTCTAATTCATACGTTCGACAGAAGGACATAACTGACAGAACTTGACAACTGAACAATGTGATCGAAGATAATCTCAATATTTGGTTCTTCCAGTTCACTTCGATTCACAACCAAGCATTAGGTAGGTGGGCAAAATGGATCGGAATATGAAAGAATCTATGTTCATACTGATTCAATATAGTTAATTCTACTGATATAATATATCGGTTGGTTCGGACGAAAGAATATCACTACTATCGTTGAATAAAATTCATTTCATTTCACTTCAGTTAATTTATTTCGAATCCTTAGGGGGGTATTTACCCACTGTACCCCCCCCCCCCTTGGATGCGCGCCTGGCCACTATAGAAAGTAGGCAATAACACACGAGATACAGTCTCAGTAAGTAGCTCTTTACGCAAAGTAAGCACATCGCACAGTTTTCGTTTATTCCGCCAGTATAGGTATGTCATGATCGCGTAATCGCCGTCAACAGCGGATGACATAACTGACAAGAATTATAATTCAGACTGTTTGTCCAAACTTTTTTGATGTACTATATGGCAGTAGGTAAAGTATAGTACGTAATGCGTGTTGTGAAGCAACTACCCTAATACCCTAATAATCCCATGGACATTCTTAGGACGTCCTGTCGGAACATTCAGGACGTCCATAGGACGTTCGAATTTGGTCTCGTGGACGTCCATTGGACGTCTGTGGGACGCACAAATGTCCCAATTGAGGTCCCACTAGGGACGTCCTTGAGGGATGTTCCTGGGGCGACTATCGAATACCTAAATCCTACAGTATATTCCTCATCAAGCACTACGGCCCCAATCAGCACCAGACATCTTAAAGACGTACATTTTACAACTTACTTACGTCTTTACGTCCAGGGACGTATAAAGTACGTCTTTAAGATGTAAATCCATGTACATCTTAAAGACGTACACGAATTTACGTCTTTAAGACGTACATTTTAGGTCGTATCCACGTCGTTCCTCCCATGTATAAAAGACGTCTTAAAGACGTACATTCCAGTACGTCAATTCGACTTATAGAACAATAATGTAAGTTATTTTCTGAAGAAAAACAAAATGTCATCTCTTCACGTTTTTTATTTTCAATTGTTCAGTTTTTCCTTATTTTCAACAAAAGTGATGTTTTTGAAATTTTTCGTCCGACATTTTGGAGCCTTCGTGTTAGATTCTCGAATTTTTACAAAAAAATCATATTCTCCGACCCCAAAAGTCCCATAGTGGTCAATTTTGAATAAAATCGGACTATAATCACAAAACTCGTCCGCCATTTTGAAGCCGACATCTTGGATTTTTCATTTTCGACAAAAGGAATTATAATCTCTGATCCCGAAATCCTCCAGATTCCAGATGCCAATTTTGAATCAGATCAGACCATAATCAGAAAACCATATGCCACATCGTCCGCCATATTGGATCCGCCATTCTGTTTTTTCCATTCAATAATAATATCACAACGAATTGTCACCGGAATAATATTTACTTGCCAAATTTCAAATAAATCGGACGATTTAAAGTGAGTCAAATTTAACTCGCACGTTTTGATTACAAACAGACACAAGGACATGTTAAACTAAGTAAAAGCTTGTTATGTGATATATAGAACAAACAGAGTAACAGAAGAAGTGAATATGGTATAATCATCGAAGTCAAGCAACAAAGAGCGCGGTTAGTACTTGAATGGGTGACCGCTTGTGTCTACCGTTTGATGAAGTCGTTTATTTTCCTTTTTTTTTTGCTTGTCTGCACTTGTTGCTAACTTCAGTGTACAGGTGAAAATCAACTGAAACTATGTGATTTTTCCGTAATTTGAAAGATCAATTTGAGGTCATGGACCAAAAACACCTAAAAAAGACGTCTTAAAGACGTACATATTAGTGGAAAATGTACGTTTTAAAGACGTCTTAAAGACGTCTCTTGGGCGTAATATGTACGTCTTTAAGACGTACTTATGTCCCGACATGTACGTCTTAAAGACGCCTTTAAGACGTACTTTGGCTGATTGGGGGAGGACATCCTTAGGACATCGGTAAGACAACCTATCAGCAACGCTGAGGGATATCAATTGGATGTTCATAGGATATCCCAGGGACACTTACGAATTATCTTAAATTTGAATTTTTCTGGGTCTTGCATAACTGATGAGGACATCCAGTTGTGTTGATGGTCCGTAGGCGGTCCCCAATAGATCCTGAAAAAGTTTCCCAAGGATGTCCAATGGACTTACGTGAAGGACATTGACGGGGAGTATTTATAGCCTACGAGCAATCATTCGTCGGCGAGGTGTAAGTTAACGTCCTCGCAGGGACATAATATTGAAAGTACCGACTGGGACGTCCGTAGGATATTGAAAAAGTACAGTTTATGTACCAATTGGGACATCCGACGGATATCCCTAAGGGACATTCGAAGGATATCCCTAAGAACCATTTCGATTGTTATACGAGCCTGGAAATATTGAAGGGCGTCTGTGCAGAGATATTTGGAGGAATATACCATCAGGGACATTTCATGGTTGTCTAGAAGGGACAATTATATAAGATCTGAAGTCATTCCAGAATATGTACTACTCGGGACATCCGATAGATCTCCTAAAGGAACGTTTAAAATCATATCTCATCAGGGACATACCAAGGACGTCCTTGCATGGACATTCTACAATATATGTACCACGTTGGACGTCTAAGGGATGCTATTTCTAGGACATTTAGAATGATGTACCTGCTGGGACATTCCGTGGACGTCCTTGCTCGGACATTGCATGAGATGTACGATGTACTACCCCTTGATCTGAGTCAAATCCTCGCTAATACTGTTTATGTTCGGTGCCACAGCCATTTTCTGCTGCCTTCATTTCAGGCATACTTCCGTCACGTGATAACCCGTCCCCTTCGCGAATATCCAAACGTGCCGCGATTCTATCTGATCTGACTTAGTGGCAGAGCATTAATATTTCCAAGAATATATCTCCACTTTGAGGATATTTCTTGTTGAATAAACGGCAACCTGTTTTTTTTTTGGTTGGAGATCATTATAAAGGTTCTTGGCAATCCAGAACGTCACAAAGTCCTTCAATAGCTGGAGAAAACCGAGGAGAAAGCTATATCTATAGCTCGTTTATGATACCGAAATACAGAAGTCAAATATATTATACCAGATTATACCTACCCATCTTTTTTAATATGTTACAGTACGTAATTACTCTATTCAATACAAATTGAGTTATTTTTTGAACTCTTCGGAATAAGCATCAATCATTTTACTCAGAGTGAGTTTTTGAACGCAGCCCAAGCATAATAGATTTACTTGGTGGTTACTTGTGCCAAGACAACTCTTCGTCAAAGGAATGGCAAAAGTTTTTATTCTGAATGTATTGCCACGACTCTTTTTTTTACGATGTTGTTTATGCTCTTGTTTTTCAGGCTTCAGCAGCCCCTCTTTATTGGACTTTTCGTGAGATTCTTCAGCGCAGAAAATAAAAATAACACCGAACCGTAAGATTGTAGTTTATTAGATTTTTCCTCGGATTTTTCTTTCCTAACGTATTTTATTGTAGTCTTCATTCACCGATGTATATAAATAGACTTCTATACTTTTGGACTCCAAATTTGAGCCCAATACAGAAATCTGAAGCATACCTCTATGCAGCTGGAGTGATGTTATGCAGTCTTATAGTAGTAATGGTACTGCATCCATATATGCTGGCCGTTCTTCACATAGGGATGCAAATTAGAGTCGCATGCTGTTCACTCATTTATAGAAAGGTAATGTATTAATCACTGAATAAAATATCCCATCATTAAATGTGAAAGTGAAATATCACAACTACAACCTTATATTTTTAATTGGTCCGGCGCCGTTACTTAATGAGAATCCATCTTGGACCATTCAGGCGCTTACTTCGCTCGCTCAAAAGACTGCTAATCGCCTGTATCACATTTTGTGGATATACGCCAACCCTAGAGGTACGCACGATGTTCTTGGAACATCACAGAGATTTCATTTCGTGCTCTCCCAGCGATAAATATATAAAAATATCATACACATATTCTAGGGACGTTCTATGCAGGGCCGATCCTAGCGGGTGTGCAGCGCGTGCCCCGCACGCGGGCGGCCAAAACAAGGGGCGGCCGCAGGCCGCATATTGTCCTATCAAACAAAATTATTTGAATCTCATAGTCGAATGAATATGCTGCATTTTGAATAAATAAAATGATAGTAAATAGTGTGTTGGTCCATTGTCAATTAATGTCTACTTTTTATACACATTCTTATCTTCCCAAATTTTAAATTTCTATTTGAAACAATAACCAAGGGGCATATTTTTCAGACGCCTAAGGATGTTTTGTTCCATCACTGTGCGGTAGCTTATTCATGCATTTCTACTACTTACTAAGATACTATGAGAGAAAATCCCAAAAAATCTGGAGAACATCCACTTGGTTAAACTACAGACACCATTTAAAATACTTTTCACTTGCTCTTCTTATTGTTCTTATTTTCAGATTCCAGATCATTTTATATCAATTACAATAAACTGTAATATACTAATGTGATGAATTTGAATCCCAACAAAAATTTCGCCTGCGGCGCATTTTTTGCCATAGGAAAATTTTGTCTGAGTTTCTTGGCCGCTCCCGGTATGCACTGAAATGAAGTTATTACCTGAAAGCATTTGACCTTGAACTCACAAAAAATTCGCCTGCGGCGCATGAAGATTTTGTCTACATTTTTTTTCTGTGTTTTACTTCTTATCCTTGTACAAGTAGTTGAAGTTATGAAGTCATCAGGTATTATAGTTGAAAAATATGAAAAATTATCTAGAGGGGCGGCACATTAGGTTTATCCACGCGGGCGGCCGACACCCTAGGATCGGCCCTGGTTCTATGAACATTCGGAATGAACTGTTTTAAATATTCTAAGAATATTCCTGGTATATTATGAGGAGAAAGAAGGAAATTAAAAAAAGCTTGCTCCGGTGGAGATGCGAACCTATACTCTCTTGTGATTGAATTTTTACTAACCTCACACCTTTTCCACTGCGCCATGAACCTTATACAGATGAATAAGACTAAAAATAAATAGAAAAGGAGGACACAGTGCACCTATCAGTTCTACCAACTTTGGCCACATGTGAGATGTTTATAAGTGATATGGTGTTTGCACTGATGCGCTTTTGTTTTGCCCATACTTGACGACATTGAAATCGCATTATAAAGTTCTTGTTCTTCTTACATCTTATTCTAATAGATGTTGCTGTCCGAATTCTCTTTGAAATGGAAATAGGAACCTCGATAGGAACTCAATAATTAGAATTTCATTAAACACTATCAAAGATGATCCTACTTTTACACCATTAAAGTATGTTTTGTCGTAAGTATGAACGATCTTTGTTATTTGGTCCGATGGCTATTAAAAATATGACGATATCAGCGCCTCTTGCGGATTTTTTATGAACAAGAACCTTATGAATGTCGTCCGTTTTTTACCAATGTAACCATGGCAACCTGCCTTGATTAAGAACACCATATTCTGTTGAACATCTCAGTCGTAAGTCTCACGTCTTAGCAGCGCGATCTAGTGGACAATCCAAATATGATAGGCCCTTATTGAGTATACTTTCAATATAGTTTTTGTAGGCACTGCGCATCAGATTGACAGCTTTGGGAGGAAGAACCGTTGGTAACGCAGTGAATTTGATGTCTAACGATGTTACCAGATTCGATTTGGCGGCAATTTTCCTCCACTACCTATGGATAGGTCCTTTGCAGTTGCTCTTCATAATCTATTTTATGTATAAAGAGGTTGGAAATGCTGCTTTGGTTGGTATCCTCGCCATCGTTTGTGTTATGCCATTACAAAGTAACCTTCCAGCAACGTAATTTTCCATTTTCGATTGAGAATAATTGTGTTTGTAGTGTTTCTTGGAACAAGAACATCGGCATTGAGGAGAAAAGCTGGAGAAAGGACAGATGAGAGAGTTAGACAGATGAATGAAATCATTCAATCAATGCAAGTGATCAAAATGTATGCCTGGGAATATGCGTTTGCTAAGTTGATCTCGATGTTAAGAAGGTTCGTTAAAGTGGTTTCACGTACTAATAATTTAATATGAATACAGGTATTCTGCAATTTCAGGAGGGAATTGAATGTTATCATTTATACATCCTACATCAGAGGTCTGATTATGTCCTTCATAATGTTCACAACGAGATTTGCGATATTTCTAACTGTTATGTTTTATATAAGCAGTGGCAATGATATTACTGCAGAAAGAGTGTTTGTTGTTACCTCTTACTACCAGATTTTGAGGCAAACTATGACTGTATATTTTCCACAAGGAGTAAGCATGGTAAGTAATATCACGTAGGTACTCGTATTGTTATGCACATACAACTCAGTACCTACTCAAGATAATATTTATTTTTGCAAATCACAAAACAGCATGCAACGCTCATGCTCTAAGTGTTCTCTTTTTTTATGCATAATTTCAATTTTTCAAAACGGACAATAAACAACTATATTTGTTTATGTTCCTTTCCTAAATTAACTCTCACGTGTCGTAACATAAAACATCATTTTGTGGGTTATTTAATGATGTCTTCAATATTTTGAACGCGCTTGCCATCAACAAAAGCAAGCCCTCAAACAATAATAACCGGTCAGGATATTGGTAACTAACTTTTCTATGTAAATTACATACTTTAGAACCATATTTATTCACTAAACACCGAAAACCTATCACACAAAAGCCGGAAAAACATTAATAACAACAAAATCGTAAAATTACATTCGTAACAACTATTGTTGCTCCCTACTATAAAACAGTTCCACAGAGATCCTCAGAATATACTATCTTTTCCGCAGAGGACATTTAACTACATAGTTACTGAGTTTCAGACAACAAAAGCGTTATTGAATTTCATTCGATGACTAACCAAAAAAAGATTCCAATAGGCTATTGGACTGATAGTGAATAATTTGCATTCAATTACTCCACTGTGTTGTCAGGGACCTAAATTGATTTTAGCAACACTTATTACGCGTTTTTTGTGAATAATGTGTCTATACGTTGTTCGAAATAATGGTTGAATGAAATTACATCTAAATTAAATATTACATTTGACCTAATAGGAGGAATCCTTGATATAGTTATTCATTTGTGACTTTCTCTAGCAATCAGCTTGTTAAAATGTTAAAATATTTCTTATACCTACTCCATAACAAAATATCATGTAAATGTTGGCTGGAGACTTAGCAGCATGATCTGAATAGTGAATGCTGAAAACTGACAAGACAAAACCCCAACAATCCTTGCCATGTTGTCACGTTTACCTGACCAAATGTTCTCCAGTGTGAATTAATATAACTATCATTTACACAAAAGTATTATAAACAATAAGCCACAACACATAAGAGGGGACAACTAATAATGGAATAAATAGTTGCGAATTTATGAATTATTGAATAAATAATATTTCTAAAGTTCCCAATCGTATTTCAACATATGGTAACTCTGTGCTGTTGTCTGTCCCTACTGACGAAATCGTGAAGTCACCTGCTATCTGCAGTTAATTTCTAGCCATTTGAAAATTACCGTGGCATTATTGATGATCTTAGGACCTTAAAATCGACCGAAAAAATCTGAAAAAATATAGAATTGAAAGGTACTTGAATGATGATTCTATTTAAAATAAAAAATCCACTTACTAATTTGATCGTCTTTATTACCCCAAGGAACATTATTTTTCATAATTCATTATTCCAGATTTTTTGGGAATTTCTCCTCGTTTCTATGAAATAAAAATATGAATATTATTTCAATATACGTGTAGTAAGGACCTCCTCGATTAACCTATACAGACAGTATTGTTCATAATGTTTCCTCTGACACTTATTGACGATGATTTAGTCAATAAAATATGACTTACAATGTCAAATGCCTTACATAGATCCAAAGACAGAATACCGTATTTGTGATTGTCATCTATTCGTGAATATCTGAAATGACATACATCACAGCTACCTCATCTGTGTCTTTTGACCTACGAAATCCATATTGATCACTAAACAATAGGCGATTATTTTCACTTATAATATCACGAGAACTTCAATTATTTCAATTAGTCGAAGACGGGGGAGAATTTTCTAAATACTCGTGTTTGAGAAAAAATTCGCGGATATTAATTGAAGCTAAAGTGGTATCCGGTAAAAAAACCTCACACTGAAATATAATTAAAAAATACTTGGATAATGACAATTTTTGATGGTTTTGACATTTGAATAATAGGCTTTGTATGTAAAAAGAATAATATATATTTTTTTTACGTATGTCAAAACTTGTGATTTTGTAAATTTCGAATTTGCAAGTATACCTACATAATATTATACTGTTGATGCATGATTTTTATTTATTGACTTATAGAATGAAATTGAAATAATCTTAAGTTGAATGTAAATGTCATTTATCCTATAAACGTCAAAAAATGTCCAGTGTAATTTCATGCTCCGTCCCCCAAGGAGGAGGAAAAAGTTTCCAAGAAATTTGTTTAGTTGCTATGGAAACGATACAAAATACAGGTTTTAAATTGATCGAAAATGCTTGGTGTAAAATTTTCAAGATAATTTAGTAGACGGGTTTTCATATATTTTTTTAAATTCTGGAGATCGAGAGAACAGAAATTAATCTATATTTATTTATTCTGTTTTATTTTGTAGCTGGCAGAATCGGCAGTATCCATAAAGCGCATCGAAACGTTCATGCTCACCGACGAAACGACAGTCGGCGATCCCACCATCCTGGACCCCTTGTTGCACACCAAACCGAAGAAGTACAACGTGCGACACTCCTTCCCCTCCACCTCCGAGGACGAGCCGTTCGTGCGCGTCGTGCACGGCATCGCGAAGTACGGCGAAGACGTCTGTCTGGACGACATCAATTTGGAGGTGTATCCCGGGAAGTTGACGGCCGTCGTGGGGCCGGTGGGGGCAGGCAAGAGCTGCTTGCTGAACATGGTGATGGGCGAGCTGGCGTTGTTCAGCGGGAAGTGTACCACGAACGGCGTCATATCGTACGCCTCGCAAGAACCGTGGCTGTTTGCGGGTGAGTTGAGTTGCATAGTCCTTAATGGCCACCCCCACCCTTTAACCCAATTTCTCTCTATGAATAAAGATGATGAAGTCTCTAGAGTAAAACACTCCGGAAGTAAAATACCTCTCCATTCGGATTAATCAAATTTCCGGGCGAGAGGTACTGAGGGGACTCATCTCTGAAGATTAATTTTTGCAACATCCGCGGACTCAACAAAAAGATCAATGACGTCTACCATCATCTACAAACGGAAAAACCAGATATTTTGGCACCAACAGAAACTCAAGTGAACTCGTCCATCAAAAAGGTCCACATGCTCTGTCCTGGTTACGAACTCCATTCTCGATTCAGGTTCAAAGGTGGAGTCTGCCTTTTCGCTAAGGCTAACCTTTCATACCAGCGTGTAGAGAGTTTGGAACCGAAAGACTTTGATGTGATGTGGTTCAGGCTAGTCGATACCAAATTGACCAAATCTATCTGCTGCCTTTACCTATCGCCTAATGATAATGAATACAACAACCTCTTTGAGTTTTTATCACTCAAACTGGACTTCATTCAGGAGAACTAACCAATGACGGCTAAATGGACTGTCTGACGAGTACTACATGACTGTCCAATCACTCAGTTCAGTGTATTCTCCACCAGAGGGGTTTACTTGCCGTCCTTTGCGGAGAAGTCATTTGTTTAGCTGTTATTCGGTTGTTTTCCAATAACATAGGTTATATTGAATTATTATTATTATCAAGTGTCAAAGCTGTGTCACTGTCAGGTCCCTGATGTGTTCTGTTGAATATCGATAAATTCCTTTACTTTTTCGGATTTTCATTCAATCAAGCATTCTTCTTTGTGTTTAGTTCTGGTAGTTTATTTATTCAGGTTTGCTAGTTGTGTCTTCATCATGTATTTACAGCCTTCTAGCGTATGAAATGAAATGTATGAATAATCGTATCAAATATTATTATTATTAAATATGGGGTTTGCTTTTTCGAATCTCATACCCAGTGATAAACTCCCACAGCAAGAATGGTCGAATTTTATTTTGGAAGGCATTGGTAAGAATATGATTTTTCATGTACACTTTTCTGATGATTTTCAATTTTAGCCTCAATTCCACCATTAGAACACTGGTGTTAATTCTGGTGTTGAAGTTTGTGTCAATGATTTTGGAAGACACTATAGAGTGATGATCAATAGCACTACATATGGCGACTTATCAGGATGGGGACATACATTCAGAAAGGATCGCTCACCATAATTTTCAAGGTATGTTTAGTCTGCATTGTTTTTGCATAGCTAGGTAGGGTAGGAGTAGTATTGTTGAAAACTGTTTCATGTGAGCCTGATGGTTCAAGCCATCAATGCAACGTATTCAAACTCAAATCACCATATACCTACAGGATGGGCATCCAAAAAAGCAACACCAAGAATGAAAGAAGAATGGAATTTAAGGTATGCGCTTTGAATCCCAGAGAATCATCAGTCTAGGCCAACATCTGGAGTTTTTTCAAGTGCCACAACTACAATTTGAGGTATTTTGTGTTCCTGCTTCCTGGCAAATATCACAGAATAATGATACTATCAGAGATTTACAAAAATGTTTTTCACTGCTGTGATGATTTTGTCACAAAAAATTTAAATTAATTATTTGGCCTTAGTTTATGTATATTATGTATGCCCATCTATCAATGAGATCCTGTATAGTTTTCTTGATAGAAGTATTAGATGGTATGTGAAATAAGAGGCCTGTTTGTTTGTATTGCTAAACTTGCTGAGGTTGATTTTTTTCCCATAGTTGTCTCTGTTCATAGCATGATGTAAACAGAAAAAGTCATAGAAAAAAATCAAGTTTAGCAGGCAGACCAAGCACAAACGAACATGCCTAAGGTAAAATGTCACTGATACTAGCCCACTAACTATAGCTTCCCCAAGTAGATCTAAAAAGATGAAAAGAGTGCAAATTCAACTTTTGAAATGCATATAACTATTTCTGTCTCCACAAAGTTTCGAAAATGGTTGAAAAATATGGATTGATAGATAGATAGATGATAAGTATAGAAAGTATTTATTCAAGTAATATAATAATAATTTTATTCCATAGACAGTCACCATAATAAACAATTTCCTTTTCCATTAAATTAGCTTATGATGAGCTTATATTTGAACTCAAAACATGCTTCTTCTCTCTCTCATCATCTTCCTCTTTTATTTACAGTGTCCAAAGGATCTCCAGGTAACCTAGCTTCATCCTCCAAAGTCAAGATCCCATATCCAAGCCGTTTTATATTTATTGTGTTGCCATCCCCAGAACCTATAAAGAAATGTTGCTATAGAACATTTAATGATTTTGAAGCTGGCATAGTTCTATCAATTTTGCAATACAATTTATCTGTATATCTGATATGAAATATATAAGTATGAAATGATAAATTGATATTCAATTTGCTATTCATGGAGATACCTGATATTGTAGTTAAAATGCCTGATTATTTTTCTGAACCCTCACCGAATTAAACAACTGTTCACAAAGCTCACCTTATAGTAAATATTCTGGTTATGCATAGATAGCATCATCAGAATTGAATGTCTCCAGTCATCATTCAATCAAACCTCATGAAGAGCTGCTTCAACATTGTGTTGAGAAAATTCAGTATCTTCCTGAAAATACAAATTAAGAAATATCACTTGAGATCACAGATTTTGTGGAACAATATGAAATGTTGCAGTACATTTCACTTTGAGAATACAGCAGTATCTGGTTATTAGGGCTACCATAGCTCTTATTAGGCAGTTGAAAATTCAATCAATGAAATAATTGAACATGTCCTTACCTATTCACGAATTGACGAAGATGATTTCCACTTGAATGGCATTATTATTTATGCATATAATAGCGTTATTTGGCATGAACACTCCTAACCACTTCATTTTGTTGGCCTTTTCAAAGTTTTACTTGGTATCTCGAACAAAGCTCTCCAATCTCGAGTGACAATGAGTGACAGGCTGACAGTGAGAAAATTTGTCAAAAAATAATGCAGGTTATGTTGAAAGCTCATTTGACACAGGAAATAGATGACGCCACTTGCCGTCCCTTCAAAATTTCGTTACAGGGCGATTTGGCGATTTTCGCTGAATGAACAGTCATGTATAACCCGTCAGACAGTCCATTTAGCCGTCATTGAACTAACCAACAGCTGAAATCTTAATCATGGGAGACTTCAATGTATACAACGCAGCCTGGTTCAAATTCTCTAACAAAACAGATATGATGCAGGTCGTCAAACTGAGGCCTTCGCCATCACACATGGTCTAAAACAACTAGTTGAACTACCAACCCGCATTCCAGATGTCAACAACCAGTCTGCCAATACACTAGATCTTTTTATCACCAGCAATCCTTATCCATATATAGAATAGAAGTTTGTGCCCCACTTGGAAACTCTGGAAGCACCATCTGCAGATGGGATTGTTTTCGATCCCTACGAGCTCCAGGTGCCTGTTGGGGTGGTTTTGTGTTTTTACTACCAATGTAGTTCTCGTAATATTATGAACTACTAGTCAGTAAAGACATAGCCCTCTGTTGTAATTAACCTGAATTCACTGTTCTGATGGCGATATTCGCAGGAATGGCACTCGAATCTAGTTGGTATCTATCAATAACAACTTGTCATATGCTGTCATGGTCGTCTTTACTAGATTTTAATTAAAATTGAAAAGAAGTGCTTTCATAGCGAAAATGAGTCCATATTTTAGTTTCACAGAACTAAAATGATTGAAATGTATTGCTAGTGGTAAAAAAATGTAATATACACCTTGCTGCTGATGATCTCGCAGAAGGGTTCTGTACCTACAAAGGGTTCGTCCGCTACTTCGTTTTTCTCTACTCCAGATTGTCCCGGAAACCGTAGAAGAATGACTATATTTCTGTTGGATAGCTGGTTCAGTTCCCGGCATTCACAAACCATTTCAGAGCTGAAAACCATAAAGCTCAGCGCTTTACTCGTTGCTTCACTGTCGAACATAATGATCATACCTCGCTTCTCAAAGCGTTTTTCTAGATTCAACTGTACACATTTCCGTATAGCGTGAACTTTCACCTGAAATATTCTGGGGAATTCGCCAATGCTTTCAAACTACTTGGTACGAGGACCGTATAGTCTGTTATTCCAGTTCATTCCGCGGTTTTGGAGCCATCTGCCACATTATTACTCCTTCTGTGAGCTCAGTGAAAATAAGTCCATATTTCAGTTTCACAGAACTAAAATGAATTGAAATGTATTGCTAGTGGTGAAAAAAATTCAATATACACCTTGGTAGTAAAGAATATTATTATTACGGGACCTTATACCCCTCGGCAGAAGCCTCGGGATATAAACTTGGTCCCTGGGCATAATGATATTCTTTACTACCTTGGTGAATAAATAGCTATTCCACACTAGTATGTAATAAACTATTTCAGGTTCTGTTAGACAGAACATCTTATTCGGCAGAGAATTTGAGTTGCTGCGGTACAGAGATGTGGTGAAAGCATGTGCTTTGACCAGAGACTTCTCCTTACTTCCATTCGGCGACAGATCCATAGTCGGTGAACGTGGGATATCTTTGAGCGGTGGACAAAGAGCCAGAGTGAATTTGGCTCGCGCCGTATATAAAAGGGCAGATATTTACCTCTTGGACGACCCTTTGTCAGCAGTTGATATCCAAGTGGGGCAACAGCTCTTTGAGGCATGCATTAAAAGGCAAGTTTCTCCATGATATTTTTGAATTGATTTTACTCGAAAATGATACATCTGATCGATACGGACAAAGACCACAATTTTTCTGTAAAAGTGTGTGGATTTTCATAATCCGAGATTGAATTGTCGTCGTCCATTTTAATACCAAAATCAGCTCATGAATTGACGTTTCTATTACTGACACAAACATAGGTATGTTGCTAGGAAATACTTTCAGTTCCTAGGAGCTGAAGCTGAACGTTAGCTCCCGGGAACTTAAAAGGATGTACTGAGTCATCAAGAATAAACCACATTGTTGTGGATCGTTATTTGGGCTCGGACGCATACCAGATTTGTTCCCAATTTCGCCAGATTTTGCATTTCATACCCACCCATGCTGAGGTTATAAATACACTATACTATAGTTGAGTATTTTTGTTTTCATCAGGAAAGCCTTCAAGATTCACATACTTGGTTGATCTGTATTTCAGTGATTCTCGTGATCTGATTGATTGGATATTTTTTTTTAGAATAATCATGGCCAAAAATACTTTTTTGTCACACAACTATATTGTTCACCTTCATTTTGATTACCGAGCCAAACATAGTGGAATATAGAGAGGAATAAATAATCACTATCATTAACATTTCACACTTCTTTTTCCTTTACCTGGCTTTAGCGCAGTATTTGCTATTAGGGCGGACACCTCTGGTCCAAATGAATTCATCAATTCATCGATTCGTTAGAATACAGAAATAGGTCACTCTGTGGTTGTATTCATATTGAAACTACAATTCGAACATCCTTGAAAATTGAATAAACCTGATCTGACCTGTAAATGCAGGTGGAATATTCTCACCACACTGATTATTTATTGCATTGCATACATATGGCACGGCATCCACGTTTCGGGTATAGTATTGAATTCGTGCCTCTAGTATCTGATGATGCATGTCAACACAATAAATTGTAACAAAGTAAAGGCATCGTCCACCAAAATCCTAATGAATTAATGATCTGTCAACTGAGTCACATTGGTCAAAGATCATGATCTTTGCATGGTGGTTAGGTGGTTACTAATAATATTCATATTTATTTTAGTGAATTCTTTCAGTTGCAGAAAAAATAGCAATCTACTATTTTTCCAGATATCTAGAAGACAAAGTCGTAATTCTAATCACCCACCAACTGCAGTATTTGAAGAGAGCAGATCAAATCGTGATAATGAGCAATGGTATGATCCATGGCAAAGGAGATTACAACGAGCTGATTGGCACTGATACATCAGCTTTTGCCGAGTTGCTGAAAGAAGCTTCTTCTACTTTACCAGCCGATGAAAAAGAAGTCGAGAAAGTGATGAGAGCTCTGTCCATAACCAGTACAGTTTTCAACAGCATAATCGACATTGAGGGTAAAAAGGTATAGTTTCCTGTCCTAGTTCTTTTATCTACTACTGGTTCATGAATTGGCTTGGTCCAGAACATCAAAATATTGGTCAACATCTCCACAGCCACTCCACTAACAAACTGAATTTTGAAAATCTCTCACATAATTGGAACAATATTTTTTGACTTGTATATTTTTTTTGAATATAAGAGTCCCAGGTGGTTACTGAGATGTTGTCCCCTCATACTGAGGCTAACCAGGAATTCATTTTTGTTTCAGAAAACTCCCTTTATTAGTCCAGAAATCCGAACAGTGGGATCAGTGGATTTTTCTAATTACGTGGCATATTTTCGAGCTGGTGCTAATTGTTGCGGAATACTCTTGGTCATCCTGATGTTTTTACTTGCTCAATTGTTAGCAAGCAGTGGAGACTATTTTTTAGCTCAATGGTAAAGTTTCATACCACACGAACTTTATAATAATTAGTTCAATCACATGTTACAAAAACGTCAAAGAGACGTCAAATCTATATAGGTACACACAACATGTAATTGGGGTAATACCTGTTTGTTGTCCCTTATTGGGATATCTTGAAGTTTGAGAATATTGTTAGTTGTCAGAACGTTTTGGAAGTATCTGTTAATAATAGTTATATAACCAACTAGTGTATTAATGAAGGCGATTATTGATGGAGATATTTTAATGTGCATGCAAATCAAGCGCGTTAATGTTCGAGATCATGGATCGCCTTATTAATTTACGATTTGGATACAAAATTTTTCCGTTGACTATTCCACTCTTGGTCTCTAGAATCAATCAGAATCGTCCATTTTCTCGGTTTTTTCTGTATTACAGCGGTACATTTTGAGCTACTTCCTTCGACATTACTTCTTCCACTAATGAATATATCAAATGAATCTATTTCGTTGCTGATTTGTGACCGGTATTATGATTTGACGGATACTTATTTCAAAGTGAGAGGCGAAGTCAACTTGTCTACCAATCAATGTATATAATCGCTTAAATTCGTGTAGAACTGGTCTTCATTCTTATTCAATCGAAATTTTTCGTCAACATTAGAAAAAATATTCGTTACTAGTTAGGAAATATCTATTTCATTGCGGATAATTTAAAACCCCAAAAGTATGCCAGTACAGCGTTGTTGCTGTTTCAGTATTCAGCCTTACGTTTGGCGAGGATTGTGAATGGGATATCTATATCTTCAATTTTTTCAGGGTTAACCTGGAAGAACTACGATCCCACGTTGGTTCTGCAGCTGTAATGGGATTCTTCGATACCTTGAGGCGAGAAGATTGTATATTGATATATACAATAATCATAATTGCAACCATCGTTGTGGCTGTAACAAGATCTTTAGTATTTTTTACGCTCTGCATGCGATCTTCAATGGGGTAAGAAACCAATTGACATAGACATTGTTTTTTAGTGTTGTAGTGACCAAAGCGTATGGGAAATTCTGCCTAGCAAATTATGGAAAAAAGTTCCACTGAGTATTGGGTTGAAAATTCTTTGTTTCCGAGATACAGCTAGGCTAGGGTGTTTTTTTTAAAGTGACTTCTTCATTAGTAATTCAAGAATGATTCATCTGATTTCAATGATATTACGGATTATTGAAACAATTATTACACATCTACTAGACCAGCGGTTCTCAAACTTTTTTGATGACGGAACCCTTTCAAGAAACTATATTTTTTACGGAACCCTAAATTATGAACTAAAAGCAAAACTATTTATGTGTGTATTGTTTCTGAATGATCATACAAAAAAGGTAGAAACAGTAAGTACTAAGTTCATTTGATGGGAGGCATGACATTTTTTTTTATTCCTCATCAGCATAGTAATGTCTGATGTCTGGTTCGGCATCCAGTTTGTTGCGGTATTTATTTTTTGTAGCTGTATCTGCTCTTGAAAATCCTTTTTCACAGAAGTATACGTTGGCACCGTCAGAAGAAAATTCGAAGACTCTGTGGCAAGTTGTAGATATTCATCACGAACCCTGCACCGAAAATCATTCAGTGAAATTGTTTTTGACAATGATACCATGCTTGTCTCCGATGTCATTTCTAACAATGATTCATATATAGATCTGATTTGCTATATACAAGGTGTTTTTGAAATAAGTGCACATATTCAGCACATCAATATGATACAGTCTAAGGAATATTTCCATGGTATCAGATTTTTCCTAATTCTTCTAGTTAACGAGAATTTTCATCCCAAAAATTGAACAAAATACGAGAAAAAATCAAGTACGCCACTTTAAAACAATTTGAATGATTGAACTCCGCGTGATTGTGCCCACCACATGGAAATTTGAACAGAGATGATGTCAGATTGCTACAGAGTAGAACTTTGGATGGAAAAAGGGGTCTAACCTCATATTTTATTTTAATCCTAAATTTTTTTATTAGTGCCATTCGATAGTACCCGTCGAGCTTTCTCAGTGTTTGAAATATTTGCACAATAAAAAAGGGTTTGGAATCCATGAGTTTATTTTCAGTTTCGTATTCTCTCGTTCTGGAAAGTAAGAATCAAAAATACTTAGCACTTAGCGGAGCAAATTTTGAGTAACGCTGTACTAGACCATTAGATTTAGTCCAGAATTTCCAGGAACGTACCTAGCGAGCAACGCAGTTGTTTTTTTTTTCAGAAAAAATATCAACCTATAGTTTCCTTGCGCTTTCATCGATTATTATTCAAATCAACCTTCTGAAATAACATTTTTGTTTCTTGAATTCTTTTGGTGTCTTACTTTCTCTTCGAGAAAAAATACAACACCATACCTCGGCATGTCCTCTTACTAACTCATAACTAAGGAAACTTCAAAATGCTTAGGAGTTATCCAAGAACATAGCCGGTATTTTCAGGGGCAAAACAATGATGTAAATAAGTAGATGGTGCGCGTACTCGGCCATTTTTACGCATTGAACTTAAAAAAAAATCACGTCTACGTCACATCGAGCGAGACGTTACGTACGTTCTTCCACTAGATGGTGATGTTACTATGATACACCGTATTTCAATGTAGGCATTGTGCCTATTTTACGAAAATGAAGGTTTATCGAACCTTTCTACAGGTAATTCTAATCCTTCAGGTTGGGAAAGTAAGATATATAGAAGTTAGGCAAGCCAAGGTTAGTTTACTTCATTGTACCAGTATTTCACCTGATGAAGCTACTGTGTTAGCGAAATCTTTGGTTTGTTTGTGAAGTTTTCGTGTACTGTCAATAGTGCCACTAAAATTTGATGATAACATATCACAGGAATTCTGTTCCACTTGTTCCACCGAACAAAGTCGAACCACGTGCTGTCCCAAACTTAACTTGTATGTGTGTACTTATACATATACATTCAACATTTGCGGAGATTTGAAAATAAGGGTCTCTCGTGGATTATAAATTTCCTAACTGTCTGAGGGGCACCATTAACAGTCTCACCAGTCTGCGCTACTGGGGCTTGAGGTCATTATCAATATCAGAATTCCCCAAATCTTGCTCAAGGCTAAGACCTCGTAAATATACAAAAACAGTATTGGGTCCAAAAAAAGCAAGTACAAATAAAACTCAAATTATTGTTAGGATTGAGCAATATTTACTTCCAGTATGAAACTTCATGTGCAACTTTCATTATATCGATAGAAAAAAGATATTCTACAGTAGAGGCCAAATGAAATGAAAGGAGTATATGTCGTGCAAGACCTCACGTCTCAGTGGCGCAATCTGGTTGAATAACAATGCATATTCTATGCAAGTTTGGAGTTTTTGAAAAAACCTACCATTTATTATTGAAATTTTAGATTGCATAATCAAATGTTTGATACTATCATTCGAGCAACTATGAGATTCTTCAACATAAATACTTCTGGGAGAATACTGAACAGATTCTCGAAAGATTTAGGTGCCGTAGATGAAATGCTGCCAAATGCGTTCATTGACACAACACAAGTAACGAGAATAATGAAGGTACTAGAGAGCTTGTAAGAAAAATGTTTATTTTTTCAGATGCTGTTGAACTTGGTTGGAGCAGTAATTGTTGTAGGGTTCATCGAGCCATTTTTACTAATACCAACTTTCCTAATGGGATTATCTTTTTTCATTCTGCGGAAAGTGTATCTCAGTACTAGTCGAAACGTCAAACGTTTGGAGGGAATAAGTAAATGAAAATATTTTATACCATTTTATATAGAATTGTACAATAACTTCTAATATTTTATATGGAGTAGTAGTAGCTTTTGAGTTTGTGAGTTTGAAGAACGACAATCACTCAGGCAAAAAAGTACTTCAACTTCAAATAGAATTTACGATGATTTGTCTTAATACCTTCTAGAATGAACTGCACTGCCCTGCAAAAAATATTTCACTGATATGCTGAAAATTTAAATCTGAATGAACATTTCTACCATAGCATCGTTATTAATGATTCAAACGAAACTTGAAAAAAAAAACCGGCCAGCAAAAAGTTTTGCCAAATTATCGCCTTGAAATTTGTTCAATCCTTGTCCGATTTTGGTGAAACTCCGACCAAATGGTAGATTCTTGTTTTGAAATGTTAACATGAATTCTAGTTCCCAGAAAAGCTGATGGGTTGGTCATTATACAAGGAAATACAAAAATTACTAGTTCACGCTTAATTTCTCAACGCCCTGTGGCAGAAGTGAGTGTTGGAACTTAGCTTCATCATGTATTAAATTGAAGTGTGATCCCTTCTCAACACAAGGGTTTCTGATTCACGTCAATAGCGTATTTTAAAAAAATGATTCCTACAGGAACTTCTCGAATATCATCTTTATCAATTATTTCCACCTCGTTTATTTAGCACTCACCAGTACACAGAAACTTTGATTACTGAAAACAAACGAAAAGCAAAGGAGTGTATAAGGAGTGAGATAACTATGTTCCGGAACTGTGTGCATATTTCAAACATTTTCGAGAAAAATAAAGGCCCAATACAACATTGAGGCATATTACCAATAACAATTGAATGAATAATAATTGATAGATTGACAGCTGAAATAACTTCCAACCTGACCAGTGTCATTCGCTTCTTGATCACCTGCCATTGAACATACAGGGTGTTGCGAAATTCGACCGACAACGCTTGACAGGTAATAGCCCTCGTGATTTCATAATCACTGAGATAGTCTTCAAGTGTTCAGTTCTCGAGATACAGGGCGTTGAAGTTAAGAAATTGAAATAGATAGTTTTTTCGCAATATCTCAAGAAAAATTGGATTTAATGCATTCAAATTCGGTATATGGTTTCATCTCTCAATGGTTAATTTTTTTACCAGAGACATTGCGAAAATTTTATCCAGAGGTGCGCTACAGAGGGTTGTGATAACTTTTCCTCCCATATTTTTTACGCCACTGATGAAATTTCGATTATTTCCAATTTCTTGAATTGATCGTTCAATTATGTTGAAAAAATGCCTTCAACTGAGCTAAAATGAACAGTTTTCGAGATATTTGATCCAAAACAGGAGTTTGCATAGTAATTTTTCATTTTCCTCAGTAGTAGAAAATTACAAACATTTTTGTTCTCTTCATGCGTGGAATAACTATTTCTTTCCAGCTACAGGATGATATCTAAATAGTTTCTAATCTACTCAACACCAGAAAAATATTTTTGCAATTTTCTACTACTTTCTATTTTGGGTCGAATATTTCGAAAACTGTTCATTACAGTACAGTTGAAGGTGATGAATTTCTTGAACAAAATCTTACAATAATGAATTCGTGGAATTGGAAATAGTTGAAATTTATCCAGTGGAGTAGAAAATATGGGAGGAAAAGTTGCCACAACCCCCTGTGGGGCACCACTGGATGAAATGTCCGGAATGGCATCCAATTTTTCTTGAGATATTGCAAAACAACTATTTTTATTTCTCAACTTTAACGCCCTGTATCTCGAGAACTGAACATTTGAAGGCCGTATGTCCCTATCTCAGTGATTATGAAATCACGAGGGCTATCACCTGTCAAGCGTTGTCGGTCGAATTTCGCAACCCCCTGTATAAAAACGCTTTTGCGCATCCAGATTTGATGCTCATGCTCCGCGGGATCTAATTCGATCTTGTTAATGGATTAACTTTCATTACAATAGCGATCTAGATAGTATAGATTATGTCAGTGCAAAGAAATTTGAAGACACTAAGTAGGTACCCACTTCTATCAAACTTTTAATAATTTGATTTTCGTAATCCGTAGCTAGGAGTCCGGTGTTTGCCCATTTGAACGCCAGCTTGCAAGGTTTGCCTACAATCCGATCCAATGGTGCCGAGCAAATTTTGGTCCAGGAGTTTGACAAATTACAGGATACCCACAGCAGTGCCTGGTTCATGTTCCTTTATACTTCCAGAGCTTTCGGTCTTTGGTTGGATCTAATATGCACCGTTTACATCGGATTAGTGACCTTCAGTTTCATTATCCTCTCTGATAGTAAGGAAATAGTTTTTGTTTTTTGTATTCATTGATGCTACTAGTACACTCACTTGGAATTTTACCATTTATGTATTGAAAAAATGACAATCATGTACCAAATTAACTCTATATAAACAGCCAATCAGATTTATTATTCTAAAATACTCGAAGGACCAAGAAAAGTCCAATGGGTGATCATGTGTTATACTAGTCCATCAATTGAAAAATTTATATCTATTGACACGAATAATTCAACCGAACTTTTTCAATTTCCACAGAGTATCATGGGAGTTATGTAGGTTTGGCAATCACCCAGTGTATTGGTCTGAGTGGTCTAGTTCAATGGGGTATGAGACAGTCTGCCGAACTAGAAAATCAAATGACTTCAGTCGAGAGGGTTCTAGAATTTACAAGAATTGAACAAGAACCTGGACTAGAATCGGTAAATATATTCGAGAACGGTACACCGGTACACTTCCTTAAAACATGTCACCAAAAGACTCTTTAGAATTATTGTTCATACGAAAAATAATGATAGATAGAACAACTAAGTGATACTGTTTGACCAGAAATATTCAGCAATTGTTACCGCAGCTTGTTGATTACTTATTGCAAAATTGATATTGCCAATCAATGTGGAAGCAATAAGGCAAGCTGATGTAGGTACCTATGTCAATTGCCGAATATGACCATTTTTGGAACGAATAGGTATTGCAGAAGTCATGAGCCTTGAAATTGTCCACTCATATAATCTATGTTATTAGCACTAAAGTCAAAACATTTCGATGAAAATAATGTTTTGGCTGGTCGTGTGTAGATCAATAATTCTCGAAATACATGAGAAAAAGTAATGTAATCGTTGAAAAAACTATACCTTGTAGTGAAACTGATATAGAGTAGCATACAACCTTCCAATTTCCTCCTTTTCATTTCTGGATTCGGCTTAACACCACCCTACGTCGGAGTACTATTTGCCGTGTGGTACCTATGCCAGTTTTTATTTAGAGCTTCGAAAAAGTCTGTTCACTTTTTCCACGAAACTGTCGTTCTTCGTGGTCCTAGTGAATTTCGATCATTGCGTATCAGAGAGTGTTACCTACAATTTTTAATTCGTTTTAAACCCAGCGAAGTGTCTGATATTGAATAGAATTTTGTGATTTGCAACTGCGCTGAAATACGTTTACTTGAGTAGCAGTGTGCCTGATCTGTCAGATGAGTTGGTGCTAATAACATCTTCTGACTCGGCTCGTTTGTTTGCCGCAAATATATACAGTGTGAACCCTAACCAAAAAACCTCGAGATTTAAGAGTTTCGCCGCATTTTTCTTGAAAAACTAAATATTGAATAGTTACAAACCTTTCAAAATGTTGAAGTCATATTACTTGAAATTCTGGAACATTCAATCTCGGATAATTTATTCCCAAAAACATTTCGAAGTTGGCTTTTTCCCAAACAGTTCATCTGATTTTGATTTTCAATGACGATGCTGTGGAAAATATATTGCGTTACTAAAATCATACCCGCTCTTCAATTTTTGATTCGGTCATGAATAAATTAATGAATTAACAGAATCGATTGTTGTATGTTTTGAGTTGGTGTTGATTTTTAAATTTCTACAGATGACTGTTGGGGCACTATCATCCAATCTTCGTACCTGCTTCACAATGATCAAACTTCAAAACGGCCAACCTCATGAAAAATGCTTAGAGATTCGAAACACCTGTATATAAGTGAGGTATCACTCGCACCCTATAGTGATTTGAATTACATGAGTTGTTCAGTGTCCACTGTATCTCTGCTGAAATTCAGTCATAAAAAATTAGTCAACATAGAATATACTTGACATCATTAGACAATTTCACGAAGTATATGGATCTGCCATCTCCTGCAATACAAGAACCAATTATAGAATCGTGTGCCTCGATCGATAGTACGCTGCTTCTTCCTTTCAAGCTGGTAAGATCACGCCATCACGGCAACCACTCATCTAAATGGAACAACATCTTGTCAACTGGTATAACATGGACAAGACAGTTTCATATAGTTCGTGGAATGTTCTCAATAAATACAATTCCTGCCCAAAATACTATGGAAAACTCGATCATATTGCTTCGATTTAACAAGCAATTGGATTTCGTTCGTTTCTGAAATAATTACAATCGATAGTATTGCGAACACTCATGGTATAACCCTCTCATGGTTCTTCTCACCTTTTCGGTCCGGTTCAATAGCTTCAGAAAGTATGAGTGATAAGTAATACATCAAACTCAAGCAGTACGTTTACAGGTACCTGATAAAAAACCGCCAGCATCGTGGCCGAAGTTTGGAAAAATCGAATTCATCAATACTACACTCAGATACAGTATATTTGATCCACCAGTGTTGAGACGTTTGAATTTTCTAATTCATCCCAGAGAGAAAGTAACCACTTGAGTACTTATTCCGATAGATTTTGAAAATAGAGTAAATCAATTCATTCATCAGGTTGGTATCGTTGGAAGAACAGGTGCTGGCAAGTCTTCACTGATTGGTACATTATTCAGATTGTGCAGCTTCGAAGGGCAAATCTTGATTGACAATTTAGACATATCTGTACTTGGACTACATGATTTACGACGGAAAATATCCATAATACCACAGGTAAAACCCCATGTAGAAGTAAATTACATAGTTGATAGTTTTTCACCAAATTTAATTCATCATCTTTCTTGTATTTTTTGGAGCGCACGAGAGAAAGTCTCTTCCTATTATGTTCGTGAAACATCGTGCATTCCTAGGGTGATAGGGAGGGGTAGTGATTGACGTTTTGGAGGTTATAAGTTCTTGGGAATACTTCCCTAGGTAGAGAATTCCAAAGCGATGTCGTTGGATAAACAAATTAGTTTTTATAGAGAGTTGTTCGACATATCGTGAAGTTGACGACAAAAGGATGTGATTGTCGAAACGGTTTGACTGGTACTGCCAGTAATGGAATGATTTCTGGAAAACATTTTCCTTTGAAGTATCTGAAGAAAAGTGAAAGGTCGCTGATCCTTTACGATATTACGATGATGTCAAATAATTAGTTTATGTGGCATTACCAACTGTGCGAATGACGTCTCTGATTCAAAAAGTTGAAAATTAGACAAAAGTTGCATATTCTAGGGAACATTGAGACGCTGTCTTCAAAGCGGAAATATTACGAACCGTTTTCAACATATACGGTCAAAACCGAAATTTTTTCTTTGCGTTGGCGCCTCTATTTGCAGGAATATGGAAATGTGATGAAGAAGTGTTCTCTGTTTCAAATTTGCTTCGATATGCTGCAGTTTCATTTTCAATTTAACTTGCCAATAGTATAGTGGTACGACATGAAAAATACTGTCTGTATTATTGCAATAAAATATTATTCCAGGAGCCTGTATTGTTTTCTGGAACTCTACGCTATAACCTGGATCCATTCCACGAATACAATGATACAGATATTTTTGGAGCGATAATCGATGTAGAACTGAAATGTGCCATGACCAACGGAATTCGTAAGTACTTATATATACAGGGTATGTCACGACGAGCTTACACTCTCCATATCGAGAATCAGTCGGGAGAAATCCATGAAAATATGCATTCTTATAGTTCAGAATACGCTCTCTTCATTTAAAATATTTTCAGCAATGCAGTGTTGTCGCTAACACACATATTATGGATTGATGAACTTTATTTATTTATTTATTTCAGTTATTGCATTACATTCTCTTCTTACTTGATACATTTAATACAAATAATATAATAGGTATAATTGATTTTCTAGTAGGAATGACATGAATGATCAGACAGTAATTCCTGGTATAAGATCATTCATGAAGTATTATCAACTGTTGTATAATTGAAATTACAAATAGTGAACAAGAAGGGGAAAAATAAAAACAGTGAAAAAAAAAAAGGAAATTCATAGTCTTTCAGCTTTGATCATTCCTTTGCATATAAATATATTTCTTCACTTTATTTTTGAATTGCATAATATTTGGGCTGTTTTTGATATCATCTGGTAATTTATTGAATTTCGAAATCGCCTCATGTGTAAACTTTTTTTGCCCAAGTTTAGAATTTGCAGCTTAAGTCTCAAGTACATGAACTTATAACTGGAAGTTCAAATCAAATGAAAATAACTTGCTTGCAATGTCACATTCACTATATGTAATTATAGCATGGTGGTAAAAGTCATAGTCTCATGAAAGAAATTGTAAAAAGTGTCGCAATCTTGCGGACAACTGAGAACTAATATGCCATTATTGCGGAATCTGCGGTCAAGCGTTTTGGGAGAAACAAAACACTGTGATTATACCATATTCTATCCACCTTGGTCTCATGATGTCATCAATTTCTCTCTCTCTCTCTAGGCACTAGGTACAGTCGTCTTCAGAGGACATGTTGCACATGGACGGTGTCAGCTCTGTAAATCACCGCTGCAATAAGAGCGCCCATACCGTCCAACCGCGACATGTTCACTGAAGACGAGTGTACCTATAGGGCCTAGGAGTTTAATATTATTAGATCATTAGATATCAGGTACACTTTTTATCGAGTTTGAAGAACAGATATCGAGAGATCAAGCAAATCGTGCCTGTGTCAAATACAATTAATTGATACCGACCATCAAAATTCTCCTTAAATGAAAATGTCTTCTGTTTTTTGTGCGAATATTTATTGGCGGATTATTTTGCATTTTTCTGTTGCAGAATGTTTGGATGATGTTATGACAGAAGGTGGGGTAAACTTGAGTGTAGGAGAAAGGCAAATGGTTTGTTTAGCTCGAGCAATTCTTAGAAACAACATCATTTTGGTGATGGATGAGGCGACAGCGAATGTTGATACTCAAACAGATAGATTCATACAGAATACCATAAGAACAAAGTTTGCTCATTGTACTGTGCTCACAATAGCTCATAGATTACATACAGTTATGGACTCGGACAGGGTAAGTGAACTATACACGTCTGTCAAGAAGAAAACCTCATGGTATGGGGAAACTCTAATCCAGTATCTAAATTCAACATCAGTACATCACAATCGGAACAAGCTTTTATGAAAACTTCTTTTGAGTACTATTTATTTTCTTCTTTTCAGTTCGGTATACTATCTCTAAACTACAATTTATTTTCTACTTCTTTGTAGTTTGGCTATATATGAAAGCGTGTTTCATTAGGTTTTGAAAACACTATTCATTAAAAGTTCGTTCGACATATTGAATCCGCCATCTTGAATTTTCTTATTATGGCGGAGGAATCATAATCACCGATCCCGAAAACCCTCAGATATCAATTTTAAATAGAATCGGTTCATAATTAATAAAGTCGTATGCCGTATTGGAACTGCCATCTTGAATTTCCGAAATTTTACGAAAGAATCATAATCCCCGAACCCGAAAACCCCCAGATACAAATTTTGAACAGAATCGGGTGAAAATGACAAAAGTCGTCCGCGATATCGGATCCGCCATCTTAAATTCTCAAATTTTGAGGAAAGAATCGTAATCTTCGACCCAAAAATCTCCCAGACACCGATTTCGAATAGAATCGAATCATAATTACAAAACTCGTTCGCCATATTGGATCCACAATCTTGAATTTCCAAATTTTGAGGAAAGAATTATAATCTCCGACCTCAAAAACCCCCACATACCAATTTTGAATAGATTCCGAACGTAATTTCAAAACTCGTCCGCCATATTGGATCCGCCATCTTGAATTTTACAATTTTGACAAAAGAACCGTAATCTCCGACTCCAATAACCCCCAGATACCAATTTTGAATAGAAACTCCTATCAAATCCCATTCTACTGTTTTTCGGTCAAAGGTCTTGACAGAAGGATTCCTTTCAATATCACGGAATATTGGCCATATATTACCCGTTAGATGGCGAAATCTCAACCAAAAATCAAGAGTGGTAGAACTAATGATGATTAAAATTCTTACTTTCGTACTTTAAAATTAAATCTCATTTGATTTGAGGTTATGTTATGAATGTTATGATATTATCAATTCTGGTGCAAGCGATGTGTAAGCGCCGTTTTCTAATTTCTGCATGAAAGAAATCTGTAAAAAGTGTCACCATCTTGCGGACAACTGAGAACTAATATGCGGTCAAGCGTTTAGGGAGAAACAAAACACTATCTGTGATTACACCAGATTACAATATTCTATCCACCTTGAGACAAACATTCATTTTGATATGTACAATGTGAGTCATTACTATTGGGACATAGGTTGGGACAGTATTGACAATAAACTCTGAACATATATGCTTAATTTTGTACAGACTCCGTGTTATTGCTTGATGAATATTTTATTAGCAGTAGTTTCTCTTGTAATTTCATACAATTTTTTTTATTGGGTTTAGGTAATAGTAATGGATGCTGGTATGGTAGTTGAGTTTGATCATCCTTATCTACTCCTACAAAATAGGGAGACCTTGTTTTCGGATATGGTTAGAAGAACTGGGCCTGGAGTTACAGTTGCATTGACAAATATAGCAAAAAAGGTGATTATTTGTATTGGCTATTTCCCATGAAAGTATTCTGGAGACCATTTTGCTTTCAGTCATATGAAGCTAGAGGTCAGGTACACCAAGTTGATGATCGTTCAAGAGCGAATTCAACCAATTATCCAACTACAAATAATTCGACGAATGACTAAAGGCAAGTTACTGTTTTGTATTACATGAAAGTTTCCATGTAAATGTTATTTTCCAGTTATAGCTTAAATAGATATGCCTCAAAAGCAGATATGGTACTTATTTGACTTGATTTTTTTATTTTTATTGATGTTTGATCTTTTTGAAGAACAAATTCGCGATAGAAAATAATACTTCGCTCCACCTTACGGAAATAAATGATACACTCTAACAATTTAATAATTGATTGATTTTATGTCGGTATCATAAATCAGTAATATCTTTTAATTCAAACTATACAGTGAGATCGCAGTGTTTCTTGATTTGTCCTGTGAGTACACATAATCATCCCAGCCTGAATTCAAAGATGCACTTCATTCCATTGGTATATCACAATATACTAACGGGTCATCAAACAATGGTTGAGTGCCACGTGATCGTTTTTAATGCAACTTTTCTTTTCCGCCCATTTTAAAGAGATACGACTGTATTCTTGATTGCATAATAATGTCACGTGGTTTTCAGTCATTGTTGAAGCTCCGGTATTTAGCCGCATTCGTTATCGAAAAGTAACTTCATTTGGGCCCAAATATTTCAACTCGAATTATATTTTACAAGGTGATTTAAAATTTGATGTACAGGGTGTGCCAAATTGGGCACTTTTAAAGGAAAAGTCCTATTCCCGTACAAGATAGAATAAAACGGATGTCGGTGCCTGTTGATCAATTCACATGACATTCTCAAAGGTGGAAACCGCATATAGATATCTATCTTTGTTTCAGAGTTACAAGGTGTTTTCCGAAAATGTGAATTCTTGAAAAGTGGCTTGAACTCTTTCGTTTGTCAAAAATTCTTCGTTTCCATGAAAATATTCCCAAAACATTGTGTTTGTCATGAAAATTGATCCTCAGGCACTGAAATCACATTTCTTTCAAGAAGAACAAGTTATATTCTTGAACTAGTTGAAAGAATGCCGATTTCAGTGCCTCGAGAACAATTTTCATCACAAACTCAATGCTTTGCAGTTATTTTCATAAGGAGAGACAAATTTGCAAAAAAAAATATCTGTAGCTACTTTTCTAAAATGCTCATTTTAGAAAAACGCCTTGTAACTCCGAAACGGAGACAAATATCGACATGCGGATTTCACCATTGAGTTTTTCATGAGAATCGACCATCAGACACCGACATCAGTTTTCTTCCATCTGGTTCGAGAATAGGACTTTCCAATTTGGCTCACCCTGTACATATTTTAAAGACATATTGGTGGGATGAAAATAAGACTTTTTCTTCATATAAATAGGTGATCTAAAATACAACCAATAAAAGTGTGGACCCCCCTCCAATTCCTTCAAAACTGGGTTAACATAATATTTGAGGCAAAAAAGAAGAAGACAACAACAACAACAACAATTTTCGGACGATTTGATCCGTTATTATGATCACAATTTCAACAACTTTTTTTAACCAACAACAGTAGCTGTAGCACTGAGGGGGTGCATTTTAGAACACATGTATATGAAGAAAAAGTCTATTTTTGAGCCCAACAATACGTCCTTGGAATATTTACTTCGAATTTTCAACCACTCTGTAGTGTCATAATTACTGACTCACACAACACTTCATTGCATATCATTAATACCATTTCCAGAGAATGATGTTTTTATTAATATAAAAAAAATCGATAAAAAATACAATTAGGAATAAATTCCGTTCAATTCACACGTATATAATTGAAACAGGGAATAAGAAAAATATTTTCATCATCTTATTAATGTTCATAAAAATTATTCGAAAATCAATCTATACAGAAAATTGGTTAGCGGACAGATGAAATTACTGCAGTGTATTATCATTTTCTTAAATCGCCAAATAATTGATTAATAACAGGAGCATGAGGCTAACAGATAACAAGACTCAGACTATTTTTCTCCTTATAGTAGAAGTTCACAAAGTTACTTATGTACAATAAAAAGAGATTTATTGGGATCTCCAGAATATCACTAGAAACCTACAGTTTATATTAAAAATACAGGATTTTATTTTATCCAGATTCAAAGCATTTACATCTTTATCGACATGAAAATTGAATCAATCTAGAAAATTTTCACATTCAACACCACAGCCATCCAGTGTGAAAAGAGAATACAGAATCTAGGGCAATTTTTCAATGTTGATGGTGTGCACAAGAAACGTGAAAACGTTTTTCTTCCATTTCAATGCACACAATTGAGAACGCATGGAGTAAGTTGGACCATTTGAGCCTTATACAGTATATTCCAGATTTATGCTGATATATGTTTTACTTCGTTGATGAATGTTTTCATTACAAATCCAATGATGACCTAAAATGTGAATATAGTTTTAGATTTTTGTAATATTGAAGTAAGAACCGAATAATCTTATAAATCGCACTGTAAATCCGCTATTTGAGGTCTGACATGTCAAATGTTGAAAGAAAACGAATAAAAGTGTAAGTTTACGAGATTTTCGAATTTTAAATGGATGCCATGTTGGAATTGCCTTGCATGGAATAGAGTACTTTTTATATTTTCAGGGTTGCGTCACACTGTTACATGAAGTTGAAATAACAATTGAAATTCAATTAAAGTAATAAAAAACCAAGATATCTTATTTGTTGATAATAATTATCATTAGTGTAGTACAAAAAAAGATATCTTCAAGAGGAAACATCTGAGAAGGAAATCCAACATAATAAAAAAATTAGAGCCTACTAGATAAAAATCAAAGTCAAAAAAAAGAGGAAAATGAATGCATTTCAGTGCGACTTACCAATAAGAGAAAATACAGTTTCATTCACCCACTAAATCGAATGTAAGCTCGAATGTAGGCGTTTGCTTTCATTTCAAAAAAGTTGTTCTTCCTGAGACGGGAAAAGTTTGACATTTCATCTCTGTTGATAGGTTACAAAATGTCAGTTTTCAATAATTACTTTTTTGCCGGATATATATGTGCACTGTTTATGGCTTGTGTTGTTCCAGTTCCGAAAAATAAGCTAATAATACGGTCTCCCAGAAAGAACTGATCCATTCTACTTCGCGCAAAATCGCGATTTTTCAAGTCAAAACACAGAATTAAATTGACAGATATTTGATTACTTCAAAAGGTTTCAATAGCAACAATGAAGATACCTACAAAAAGATGCCTGCAAACACAGGTGTACTACCAGTTAACAACTTCAAATTACACATTGATAATTTTCTGATTTTATTACAATGTAATATTTTCTCAATATTGAATCGTCGTTTCTTCTGTCACAGAAAAAAATAGTCTATTATACACGGGAAAAATATTAGATTTTAGCTCACGGTTTTTTGTTTCCCTCCGCTACGCGTCGGGTGGCAACACAACCTCGAGCTAAATTCTACAACTTTTTTCCCTTGTATAGTAAATAACTATTACTTATTAATTCACTACAACGGGAGACAAAATATCACCTCCTGTGGGACGTGAACAAGCTCCTGCATTTTTTAATCTGGATATTTCTATGAGAGCCCTTCAAGTTCATTTATCACTATTTATCAAAAATAACAGTTGTTTATCTTTTGTATCAATGAAATTATTATATTCTGCGTTTTTTTTGCACTTTCCTAGGCGTTAATTCATGTTTATGACATCAGATATCGAAGTACAATCTGTGCCACCCCCCAATCTCAGTCAAATTTCTTATTCAAAGAAGTTACCCATACATGCAGCAGAAGTTGGGATCATAGACTCATTTATACCAAGGAGACAGAATTATTCACATTCAAACATGATCATACATTGCCAAATTATACAACGCTGGAGGTACTGCTGGGGCTGCCGCCGCTTCCAATCTGGATTAAGAGGGAAGCAATGGCGGCCTATCTGAGGATGCGGGACTCTGGGAGTTGGGCTAACGGAGGAGCAGCGACAGGTCACGCGGAAATTGCGACATGGGTGGAGCAGGAGATCCCTATCTCACTACTCCAAGCAGAGAACAATGGGAAGAGAACAGAGTGGAAATCCGCCCAGGGAGTCTAGTATGTTATACGGACGGATCGCGCCTAACTGACAAACAGGACTCAGGTGCAGGAATTTACCTAGAATGAATAGGCATAAGGGAGAGCTACGCTCTTGGAAAGTATACCACAGTTTTCCAGGCCGAGGTATTTGCCATTCTGGCAGTAGCAGAGAGGCAAGAGGTGAAAGAGGGACCAGAGCAGAAGATTTACATCTGCTCGGATAGTCAGGCGGCTCTCAGGGCTATCTGCCATCCTAAACCAAGCTCAGCTTTGGTGCAGGAATGTGGCGATGCTCTTGAGAAACTAGCTGAACAGAAGGAAGTCCGGGTCACAGGGGGGTGCCCGGGAACGAGGTGGCCGACGAGCTGACTAGAATCGGATCCGCGACACCGTTCTGGGGACCGGAGCCTGCACTGGGCATAACAAGAAGCCAAACTTCGTCTGCCCTTAACAAATGGGCGGACGAGGCACTAGAAGGATACTGGAGGCGTATAGGAAGCTGCAGGTAATCGAGAGACCTGGTGGCCGGTCCAAGCAAGTCAAAGTCGGCTTGATTACGTTACTTGGCAGGGATCGCCAAGTCCTGCGCCTTCTTATAGGGGTACTGACAGGTCACAACAGGTTTCGCAGATACCTATCACTCATAGGTGTAGAAGATATTCCCACTTGTCGTGAATGCGTATGGAAGGATGAGATTAGAAATCTTTGGAGTAGATAAACTACAAAAGGAAGATTTGGTCGAAATAGAGTGTACGGACATCCTGACCTTCATCAGAAGGACGGGAAGATTCGAAAAGGATAACTAAAAGGGGGATGTGTAGATATGTGGAGAGCAGGGGTTGGCAAAAAGGGCCCATGGGGACCTACTTGCCTGGCTACAGCCTCCCCACAATACTACTACTATTTGCCAAATTATAACTAAATGACCACTGGTTAGGCATTTGTTCCGACTAATTTCAGTGGATTACATATATTCGCGTGGAGATGACTTTGAGCTGTTCTTTTGGAATAAATCCTCACCTAAAAAAACGGACCGTTCAGCCTTGCGCAATCTTCGCCAACAACTGGTCGCAAGTCTTCTTCGCGTCGCCGAGCAGCATCGACGTGTTGGGCTTGTAGAACACCGGGTTGTCCACAGCGGCGTACCCCACGCCCAGCGACCGCTTCATCACGATCACGTGCTCCGCCTTCCACACGTTCAGCACCGGCATGCCGGCAATGGGCGAGTTCGGGTCTTCCAAGGCGGCGCTGTTGACAGTGTCGTTGGCGCCTATCACGAGGACGAGGTCGGTGTGCGCGAAATCGTCGTTGATTTCTTCCATTTCGAGGACGTCGTCGTAAGGGACGCCGGCTTCGGCTAGGAGGACGTTCAGCTGGCCGGGCATCCTTCCTGGAATTTCAAGATTCGATGTGAATTGGTCAACACTTCGAATACTGTCTATTGGTTAATCGAGGAGATGGTACATTCATTTCACTTGATTATTTGGGATTTTCTCTCCTCGTTTCTATAAAACTTGATATGTTTCAGATATCAGCGTCCTTATTACACAGTCCAATTTACAGATCGATCCTATGACCAGTTTTCGAGCTACAGGGTGTCAATCCTTTGATTTTGGCTGTTTAGAATATTTTGCATCGATTTGAATTATGTGCTCTAAGTCGTGATAAATCTTCAGTAGATCTAATTTCTATCTCATGAGTTCCTCTATTCGAATAGATAATAATATCATATACATACAGGGTATTGCATTCCATCATGACAAGGAAATATTCATGGGAGTTGACAAATATTGAAAATATCAGAATTTCGATTTTTACTCAATCACTGAAAACTTCAAAACAAACGGCTAGAATCGACCAATTATTTGACACACTATGGATCTTGATCATCAACATGAGGATTCATGTGATTTCCTCTGATACAATGTCCGGTTTGCCATATATAGAGTGAAAGCTTAGAATTTATGTAACTCATGTACAAAATGAGATACATATCACGAATGGTTTGTAACTGTTTATATAATATATAAAGTGAAAAATAGAATGTCTCATACCCTCATACCTCATACCCCCACCAACCCCCTAAGTCACAACCACCCCAACGCATATCATTTCAATAAGAGCCCCTACTAGTGATACCTTTGTAAATTGGACTGTGTAATAAGGACGCTAATATCTGAAACATATCAAATTTTCAGAAAAAATAGCCGAAAGCCATTTTATGTACTAAATGTGCGGGGTCCTATGAATCATTGTGAAGTGTGTCGAGGTATTTAAAAACACTTTAGTCCTGAGACGTATATACTATTTTATGCATTTCAGGATAGTTATATATATAGGTTAGTTATGTTCAATGATCAGATGATCGAGTGCTAGTACGTTATTCTGTTATTTACAAACTGTTTTGTGTTGAAAGTGTTCTCAATTCATTATGGATGCTGGTCACTATAGCAGCAGTAACGGCGAAAAATTTTTCATTTTTGTTAGCAAAAATGACATTTAACATGATTCAACTTTTTTGACCAGCTGAACTAAAACATGTGAAAATATACAGGATGTTCTATTTGAAAAAAACAAAGTTACTGGCATTTCCACAAGATATCCGAAATAGTTGCTTATACAGGATGTACCATGAGTAATGGATCAAAAGAAGTTATATATGTGGTAGGGGGGGGGATCATTTCCAATCAAACGAACCGTATATGTGGTTTTGTGGTTATCCAATGGTTGATGGTTCAAAAGTTATTAATTTATTTTCATTTCTATAAAAAAAATCATTACAATAAAACTATATCACATTTGTGATTTTTTCTTTTACAAATTTCATCCACGTGGATGCAACTTTCCCCAGAAATAATTTTATGAAATATGCTACTTCTTATCAATTACCTGAGACAAATGTTGTTTTCCTCAAGTTTTGTTATTGAATGAAATATTTAAGTTGATTTTTAAATGCCGCTTGCAGATTTATGAACAATCCCGCAAAGAAAACCAATTATAAAGAAAAGTGGCCCATTTAATACAGATTCCCAAATGGGTCACGTTTTCGATTTTCAAATGTCTTTTATCCCATTAGGGAATGAAATATAAGGTGTTCCATTTTGAAATCTAAAGTTGATGTAATTTCTAATAAAACCGGAAGACGAAAAAAAATCCTAAAATGTCAGAATTATCCCTTTCCTATCATATTCCTGTGGCTCATCCGACATGAATTGTGATACAAGTGACTTTTTCGGCAGTGATGTACTTGACTCCGTTCTCTCCTCTCAGAGGAGTTATGACGGGTTTCTTCTTCTTCACTCTTTTGATCAACTTCCAATGATTCTCAGGACCTTCATCCAGATATATGATATATAGTGAAAATGATCATAGTACTAAGTACCACTTATTGAAACAGAAATTACTTCCATGAATCGAATTAGCTTATTGATATTGAGCAGACCAGATACTGTGAGCAATTTATTTATTTCTTCCATTTAGTCAACAACACTTTCATAAAAGATATAGAGTGTCGTTTGTAGAACTGTAGAACATCTTCAGTTCCAATGGCACTGGGTGAGGTTGGAGGCAAGGTTGGTAGAATTGATGTTTATTTGTAGAGGAAGGTTGCCTCGAAGTGACATAATCGCATCCAAAATTTCACGTTGGAATCATAGAAATAAATCTATGTGTAATTCTAGATCACAGCTGGATAGGTAAAGCTATTTGGAGACATAGAATATAGATTATCACTCCGAAATGGCATTACGTCACGAATTACCACTTCACACCATCGCGTTTTGCTGATCCGAGGCAACCTCCCTCTACAAATAATCATCAATTCTACCAACCTTGGTTGAAGGTCATGTTGACTGTCAATCTTCGTTTATTTATTCATAGGAACGAAATTTTACCCCCCCCACAACCACACTAGTGCGGCTACGCGGGAACAATATCGGACATCCCAATCATTCCGAGATTCTGTTTTTATGGTCAATAATATAAGCTAAGAAAGTACTGACCTGCTACAGGGTGGATGGCAAACCGGACGTTCTTTCCTTGTGCCTTCAACGCATTTACCATTTCAGCGATAGGGTACTGAGCTTTGGCAACACAAAGGCCATAACCAGGAACGATGATTATGTTTCTGGCATTCTTTATGGAGTCGACTGCACTATCAAGATTGATTTCTGTATGTGTTCCAGTTATCTCCATTGGTTTTCCAGTGCCTGTACTCGATGTACCATATCCACCAAGAATGACGTTTGGAAGGGATCTGTTCATCGCCTATAAGAATAATTGAAAAAAAAAATACCGTACTTACTGGCTATATTCCGAATTCAACTGATCAGAAATCAGAAAAAATCATTGAAAGTGACAGGTACTTGTGAGCAGACATACTATTCATTCCAAATATTTCGACTCAACATTCTGCTGAAATTGCTGACTATTGGAAGTGTGGTTTCAGTGAACTGTCATTACTTTAGAGGAGGAAGGAATGTAACATTTATTCAAATGTTTTTCAAACATTTAGTGTTCTTATTATTAATAAATCAATAATATCATATTTAATATAAAAAAATACCTGTTATTAAAATAATATACGCTGAGAAAGATATTCAAATTTCACCAGCTGATCAACTGTTGCTGATTACTGATAAAAATCATGAAAATGTGTTCCGAATTACAGCACAATATTTTTGATTTTATATTTCGGAACACAGATTCTCAGCAGAGTCAGTGAATTTAGTGACAGTACTGAGCAGTTGAAATCAGAATATAGCCACGTTATTTGTTTTGGCACAGTGGTTCAGTGAGGATGACAAGGAATACCAAACATACCTCTTTGTCAACAAGATATATTTACTTTGTATTAACAACGCTGTAATATTGATGTGACTATGGTGAATACATTGGTTGTGGTATAACGGTGGAAGGAAACATAAGTGTCTGAATTGTCTATTTGTTTGCAAACTCGCGGCACTGACGAAACATTTCACACTGAGAATCGCAAATAATTGATGAAGATAACAAAAAATAATGTGAACTACTTTTTTTTCAACTACAAACTACTTTTGTGTCAACACCGCAATGGCTAATTGCATAGTATTGACATACAAAACCATTCATGATAAATGCGACGTTGTCCCTTTTCAAACAAGAAAACTGTATGATGCAACAGAATGAAAGCAATTCATGGTTATCGGTATATTATATATTGTTAAATGAGGAACCATACGATCACACTAGTATCTCCCAGTGGACCAGAATCTGGCAATATATAATCCTGTTTGAATGTTAATAACTCGTTCTCCTTTCGATATAAGCCAATGAAAAACTTAAACAGAATCTTTTCAGAAAGACGGTCGTTTCTCACTTCATGATCATCTTCAGCTAATATAATGATTGATATCTTGGTGGAACGGGGGGTGATGAATATATTCCCAATTATTTAATGTAACTTATTCCTGAATTAGTTTTTCATCATGGTTATTTCTCGGATATCTTTATATTCATTCCAGACACATCCAAATTATAAAATACATCTATTTAATATTGGATTTATCGGCGTTTAGGCTATTGCAACAATAAACCGAACTTACCTTACACATTATGTACGATAAAATGGCTCCAGATGATCCAATAAGGGCTCCGACGATTGTCATAAGGTTATTATTCAGCATGAAACCTTCAGCACATAAAGCCCAACCAGAATAACTGTTCAGGACGGTTATGACAACAGGCATATCGGCACCTGAAAATACGACCTTGGAAATTATTGGATATTTGAAATTGTTTTGCAGATTTACATTCACATGTATAAGGAAAAGGCAACCACTGATTTCGAGATATCACTTTGAAACTACATTGTATAATGCCAATATTGTTGCAAATTAATTTTATGAGTGGTGTATCATCAATGGCAAAAGAATTGAACAAGTTACAACAAAATTCTTAGGTGCCCTCTTGAAAACAAAATGAGCTGGACAAACCATATGAACATATTTGATAATGAGTAGAAACTGTGTCCTAATAAGGCAACTGAAGAGCACAGTATTTCTGCACATATTAGTTGAACATTTAATATTAAAATCGAAGAAAAACAATGTAATAAACAAAAAGAGGAATTTAAGAATCCGCTTGCATTCTTCTGAACAAAGACATATATTATATAGAAGATGGTATTCACTATAGAATCTGAATATATAAATATTTAACTCAAGATCAGTTATTAATAAAAAGATTATGTAATTCACTTGTTTGTAACAACTTCTGTCACTGAAAAATATCAACAGAGAAATTCGAGGACAATATGCCAAGAATATTTTTCCATTTTCATTCCTGTAACATCCAATAATTTTTGAATATATTCACTGGTATTGATAACCATCAATATGTTCAGTTTTTCAGAGACGAACATCATTGTGAACAGTGCCGTGTATTTTTATTGAAACAAAAAGGGGAAGATTTTTTTAAGAAATCATATTAGGATTTTTTGCAGACAAATTAACTTCATAGTATTGTTCTCCATGCTTTCGAACCTTCATATTCATAACGTTAATGGGTCCGGTAGGTAGAAAAACACAATATACTTTTTCTGTTGAGCTCGCCGTTTCCAAGTTAATTACTATTCACATTTGCAAAAATGCTGTTTAGATGTGCATTTTTTTTAATCTTCCATATAAATTATGTGAAAATGTGATTCAAACCAATGAAGAACAATAATATTATGAAGTCAGTTTTTCTAATAAAAAATCCTGAGATGATTTCATAAAAAATCGATAAAAACGGAAGGCACTGTCTTTATTCATGATGGTATTCATACCATTCCGAATTTGGTAAGAATCGCACGACTATTAGCTGAGATAGAGGGAGAGGGGTTTGAAGTGAGACACGCTGTATACATGTATTATATAAAAACGTTTTGAAAAATTGAGAAAAAAACAAGGTTGGTTGGTCACGTGTGGGTTAATACGGCTTCTGCATTGGAAACATATCATTGTGATATAGGAGATACCCCGAAAAAGGTCGATTCTTATTGCTTCTCGAAAACAAGAGTCAATGAAAATCACAAGAGAAATAAAAAAAAAATAGTATGAGATCCAGTTCTTTGAATAGGACTGGTGGATCATTCCACCCAAGTAGTCAGGTAGTGCCATCTGTCAGCAGAGTGGTTTACTTGTAGTACTTACGTACTGTACGTAAAGGGATATCCTGTAATGTTCAGAGAACATCGTTAGAACCAAGGGAAATAAGCTAGGAATTGGTGTTCTTAAATTTCTGGAGGTTATATGCTTCGCGGAACACCTTCCTTGGCAATGTGTTCCAAAGCCTTGCTGTTCGTTGGATGAACGAGTCTTTGGAAATAGATGTTCTGCAGGTCTTCAAAGTGACCACGAAGGGGTGCGAAGCCTCAACTCGACGTTAATCTCGCGGGGACTGCCAAGGGAGGAACAATTGTTGATATTTCAGAAGAGCATCGTCCATGGAAATATCTATAAAACAGAGCCAGATCGCCAACTTTTCTACGGTGTTCCAGAGAAGTGTGAGTTTGTGAGCGAGGCATCACCCACGAGACGAATTGTCCTTTTTTGGACAGATTTCAACAGTTTCAGCGTATGTTTGGATGCTGCACTCCAAATATGAGAACAGTATTCCAGGACAGGTCGAATCTGTGCCTTTTAGATCATAAGCAGCTGACTGGAAGTGAAATAGCTCCTGGCCCGAAACAGAAAACCAAGTTTTTGGGATGCACTTGTAGACGTAGGGGACTTGACGTGTTGACTATTGTAGTGTCCTACTGTGTATGGCGTGACCTACTTTAGAAATATGCCACTAGATGGCGATAACATGACTAGATCGTTATGTATCAACCGAATAAATAATATGACCTGCAACATCATAATTCTTATTTCCAGGGGACTTGACGTGTTGACTATTGTAGATGACAGTGTCCTACTGTGTATGGCGTGACCTACTTTAGAACTATGCCACTAGATGGCGATAACATGACTAGATCGTTATGTATCAACCGAATAAATAATATGACCTGCAACATCATAATTCTTATTTCCAGAGGACTTTGACGTGTTGACTATTGTAGATGACAGTGTCGTATGGCGTGACCTACCTTAGAACTATGCCACTAGATGGCGATAACATGACTAGATCGTTATGTATCAACCGAATAAATAATATGACCTGCAACATCATAATTCTTATTACCTCCGATTGCTGCCGTCAGAGTGACCCCCATGGTGGTAGACAGTGCCGCGGTCGCGCCGAGCGCCCCCAGGCCGCCGGCCAGAGTTGGATCGGTGAAGAGATACCCGCCGGCCGCCAGGTTGGCCAACAGCAGGCTGCCGTTCAGGGCGTGCCGGCCCGGCAGCAGGAGCGGGTTGGATTTGAGGATTCCTTGGAGTTTGCCGTAGGCCACCAGGGAACCACTGAAATGATTCTTCATTTAACCTTTCAGCGGGCGTGCTGTAGTAAAATTTACGACAAACACGTCTAATAACATCTCCCCACTCTCCTGTTACCTCCAAGCTAAATCAGTTTTACTATCTCTTCAAACTACAGGCGTATCGGGTTTGTACAAAAGTATTTATTATCCACTTACAGATCGGACAAAACACCTTGGCCTTATATTGGATCAATCCCTAAGATTCTCCTCTCATGTTCCCAAGTAATGAAGCGTGACTACTACAACTTGACAACAATTTACTCGAATAGAGAAATGCTCAGTAAAGATAGATAAAGATATTATGTAATGCTTTGGTTCTATCGCATGCCAACTATGCCGATACTGATTATGACCCTAACTTACTTCTAGCTGACAAAAAGAGACTACAGACCTTACTACAGAATTTAGGTATGACACTCTTACGGGTACTAGATATCTCACCAGCTGAAATTTAGGATGGCTGAATATGGAGTCGCGACGTGTGTTACATGCATGTATCATGTTCCATAAAATCATCACTGAAAAAACTCCATCCTATTCCCACGTTAGTCATCATCTGAATCTCAGATTTAAAAATAAACTCTCGAAAGCTCCCCGTAAAACTACTCTATATCGTGTCTCCTTCTCATATAACATTGCTTGGCTTTACAATCGACTACTGACATCTATGAAAACGCTATGGATCTCAAATTTCACAAAAAATTCAAATCCGAGTTACTACAAAATAACCTGAATCTCCTTAATAACTATGTTCCTCAATAATAGTGTGTATAATACATCAAACATTTGATAACTGTATATATGGTTTGTATAAATTATTTGATGTTTGATAACTAATGAGAATTAATTTCCTAATTTGGTGTTGATATATTATGTTCTCTAGTTTACAATTTATTTTTCGTGAATTGTATTTCAGGACGATACTTCAAGTTTTGATTACGTTATCTCACAACACATGACTTGATTTGAACTTGAATTCTGCCTTTTGATAGCTTCTTAGTATATAGTTTCTCTGTATATATTTGTAGTCACTGGTAGATGTCAATGAAATCGAATAATATTATTGAACGTGAATTTTATGATACAATACGAAATTTCTAACCCTTGAAAATATGGTTAATTGAAACATGAGATATACAAATGAATTATCGAGTATTTAACCATTGAACTCTCTCATTATTTTGCATCATAAAGATGTTTTACTCAAAAAGGGACAACGCCGCGATTCTCCTTTAAATGGTTTCATGTGTAGCTATCGATATTTATCGGATGTCGATATCTGTAAACTGTGTTCCTAGTTAACTTTTGAGGAAGTTTTTCTTGCTCTGATGACAGTTCATGTGATCCTTCAATGGAAAAGATATTCAATTCTCTATATGACACCAGAATTTCAGACAAAAATATTAATTCAAAATAAAATCAATCAATCACTCAACTTTATTATTCCCAAGAAACAACATTTGTTTATAATAGCAGGAAACATGGTGAGTATATGAATATATTTGACAAAATAAAGAAGACAGTAGAATGAGACTCACACTCAAGAAGAAATACTTTTTTTTTCCAAGTTCAACTGAAAATGATTCTCAATTGACTCAGCTCTTAGGTACCCAATGGAAAACTATAGTAATTGTACGAGATAACTATAAAAATGAGATAAGATGTCAATATAACAGGAGTAGATGTTTCTTGAATTCCTTTTTGCTTTTCTCAATCCTATCAATCAGCTTCAAGTTATTTGGTAATGAATTGTATTGTATCATTCCATTGTGATGGATGGATTTTTTACCAATATCTGATTTAATTTTCTTGATAGAATAATGATCAGCTTGTCTAGTTGTATGGTTGTGGTGACTAATATTAATTTGGCAAACCAAATTTGAATGCTTTTGACAATATTTAACTGAATGAACGAATGATAATAATTTCAATTTATATAGTGAATCTATATCTAATATCTCTCATCTTCTGTAAATGGTGGATGATAATGTCTGGAACCTCATAAAAGGATTCTCTCCACTAGATAGATAATGACATGCTCTCCTCTGTAATCTTCAACTCTTCATTAGTGTCTAGAAAAGTTCTTTATCCAGGAAAAAATCGAAAGAGAGCCATCTTGAAGAATGAACATATTTTAATTTCGAATAAATATGTTTTCAATTTTGCTTTTTTCTTCAAGGTCTCCCATTCGACATTTTTCTGGATGGAGAACTTCTCAATAGAGAGCTGTAGATTACACGATAGATATTTCTTGAGTAGCTATTGGATTGGTTCATCGAATAAGAGACGACTAGCTTACCTGAACGTTACACCTCCGATGTATGTTCCTAAAAATAGAGCCGTTCTGATAACGTTGGCAGCTGGATCGGTTGCAAAGGACGGAAAATCGTGCATAAACGTTGAGATACATGTGAGTACTGCTGCTAGACCAACCAAACTGAAAAAAAGATCGATGTCATTAAAAACTCATTAACCATCTCAGTTTATAACATGTTGATCGTTTTGAGATATATAGAACTCAAAGAAGTCTGGCGATATCTATCTGAGAAGTCTTGAAAAACTTCGACTCTTCAACCTGGTCAAATACTATGGTTTCTCATTTTCGAAATGAAATTATAATAACTATTATGAGAGCTAAACATGTTCTCACCAGTTGGCGTTACAACAGACTATAGAGCGTGAGGGCTATGGCAAAATCAAAAGTCCCAACATTTTGTCAAATAGCCCTGAAGGCTGAAGTTTGTTTTTTTCGAAAATTTTATGAAAAAATGTGGTATGGCCTGAGTAAACAATCAGAGAAACTTCAGGTATGGTTAGACTTGAGCAGGCTTGTGTTTTTCACTCGCTATGATGAAGTAGCGCGATCTGGTGGACAATCAAAATATGTTAGCCCTTATTAGCAAGCCTAGGTCGTATAGACCCTATAAACAAGGTTTTACATAAGTAGCAATATAAACTTCACCAACGGTAATATATTCCTTGAGAATACAATATTGAAAATTTTTCCACATTGACAAATAGAGCTTGATCTCAAATTTGAATGTGTACACAGATTGTTTGCCCAATCGATCGTTACACATAGGGCATGAGAATGGCAACATACAGGAGAGACTATCGAACGATTAAAACTGTTTTAATCTTCTCCTGGAGATTCTAACATAGTTAGTGTCGAGGCGTAAACAATCGGTTTCGTTAGTGGTAAAACAGTGCGTAGTGTGAAATAAGAACAAATGAGTTTCATATTGTCTTTCATCAGTTTATCCATGGCATTGTCGAATTATTTTTGAAATAAGTTAGATTTAACTGATTTGAGAGCGAAGAGTCAATGAATGTCAAAATATTTCAGCTAACTATGAATTAATTCATAGTTCCAATAACTGGATATTATATTTAACGTCTTTATTCAATAATATTTTTGACACAGCTATTATCCCGAATACATGGTCCAACATCGTACTCACTATGCTGCACAAAGGTGGAGTGGGGGACAATCCCGAAAATTTTAGAGGATTGGCATTAGTTAACTGTTGTGCCAAATTATTCACAAGTCTCTTACTCAACAGGTTATCCTCATGGGCAGACGTTTGCCAGGTTTTACCGGAGTCCCAGGCGGGATTTCGTACTGGACGTGGTTGTCTAGACAATGTCTACACTTTGAGCTCTATCATCAATATACATATCAGGATTAAACAACGTAAACTTTTTGCCATTTTTGTAGACTTTAGGAGAGCCTTTGATTCGGTGAAGCATTGCATGTTGTGGTCGAAATTGTTCAATTTAGCTGTATCTTCCAAAATTCTACGTGTACTGAAAACACTTTATTCACAGGCAACTGTACAAGTCAAGGGTTCCGATGGACTTTCTAAGCCCTATAATGTAACAACCGGTGTGTTACAGGGTGAACCGTTGAGCCCACTATTATTTGCTTTGTTCATTGCTGACATCGAAACTTTTTTTTATGATAATGGTGCTCTGGGTGTGAATATTGACGACAGAAACGACATTTTGACATTACTATATGCTGATGATCTCGTCATTCTGGCACACTCAGAAATAGATGTAGTCAAAAAATTGGAAACTTTGGAAAAATACTGCACTTCTATTGATCTGATGGTGAACTTGCAGAAGACCAAAGTGATGCAGTTCTCGAGAGGTGGTTTCCAGAAACCTAAATTTAATTTCCATTTCAATAAACAAACCCTTTCTGTAACCAATAAATATGTTTACTTAGGAGTAACTTTCACCTCTTCTGGCCTCTTCCACGAAATGGCTACTGTTACATCTAACAAATCAAAACAAGCTGTGGGATCAATTCTACCGATCATGGCTAAAGCAAAAATTGATACTTGGCAGCCTAGAATTAAACTGTTTGAGTCAATGGCTCTCAGCGTTTTATCTAACTCCATTCCGGTATGGAGCTTAAGGTATTTGGACGTTTTAGAACGAGTTCAACTAAATTTTTTAAAAAGAGTTCTCTTAGTACCTTCGAATACCCCAGATGCCATTGTTCGCCTTGAGACTGGGAGAGTCAAATTTGCATACAACGTATTCAAAATGACCCTTAACTGGATTCAAAAAATTCATTCTATGGAAAATAATCGATACCCCAAACTTTGCTTATTACAACAACTCCGTTTGATCAATGCAGCTGATGACAAATATAATTGGTTACTACAGGTGAAAAAATTCTTTGCAGATATAGGTTGCCTTGAAACCTGGAATAATTTGAGTGGTATAAATGGGACTTGTAAGAAACAGCTACTAACAAAATATTATGCGTATTTACATGGGTTAGATGCGTCTATAGCCTCCCGCTACCAATTTCTGTGTATATATAATCTATTTGACATTTCGTATAATCCAAGTACATATCTACTTTTGAAATTACCAATTCAGGTCACTCGCACTCTTGCTCAGTTACGCATGTCAAATGATTTTATGATTAAGTTCACCTTAAATGGGATTATTTATAAAATTAATCCAAACCTAACTTGTCCTGTATGTAACAGAAACCAAAATGAGACACTCATACACATGCTCTTCGATTGCCCAATATATACTGTTATGAATCAGAATATTCCCTGCCTTCAGAGTGTTGATTCATTGATTGTTGCACTTAAAAATATCACTATAACTCAAGCTAGAACTATTGCTACTTATATTTGGAATATTCTTAAGCTTCGTTCATTCATCCTTACCGAATAACATAATATATATAGCTTGTTATGTTTATTACTATTATGTAATGCACATTATTATCATTAATTTGTATCTGTCTGTGATTCTTTTTTGTTACCTCTTAACTCTCACTCGAATTCATTGCTGTAAACAATATGTTTTCTATACGCAATTAAATATTATTATTATTATTATTATTATTAATTGAGATGGCAACACTGTTCATCTCCCTGAATAGTAAATTATCGATTATTTTCTACTATAAACGATTGCCCTCCGCCTTAGATATTGGAAATACTTTTCAAATGCATGTCGACTGAATGATTGTTTAGAGCTGTGGTATGAAACAATCAATAAAACGAATATTTATCACCCGCTGCACCCTAGTTATCAAGACAGAGCTGGTATGTTCCATCATCACTTCCATTTCCTGGAATTGATTGATTGATTGATTATCTTTATTACCCCAAGAAACATAGTTGTATATACTAAGGATACATAAACAATATACATAATGTTATATATACAATTATGAAATAATAATAAGATATAAAACAGTAAAGAAAGAAAACATGCAAATAATCATGCAATATCAACCTTATCTTTTATGAGTAGGTATTCAAAGTCTCTGAAGCAGATATTTTTTCAAATTAATTATGAATCTAGTTACTCCCTGTATATTTCTCAATTGACTTGATAATGCGTTGTATAGAGTAATTCCTGCATGAAAAATGGATTGTTTGCCAATATTTGACATATACGTATTTGCTATTAGTAAATTTGATGTCTTGTCCATGATAATGTAATGAATTAGTTTAATCGAAATTTAAATTAGAAGTTTTCAATTCATATAGAACAACATATTTTGAGTTTGTATAGCAATATCAAATCTAATAAATCTTTAGGTTTTTATAAATTCATGGTTGGATCTAGAAAATTCAGTGATCAATGCTGATCATCGAATGAGGTTATGTTGATTCAGGCATACAACGGATATAGTCCAGTTGTATTATATAAAAAAGCGTATACGTATTGAAAAGAGGGATCAACGTTATCCTAGTTCTGGTTGTGTAAAACGGGCTCAACCAATGCTTTGTATGTTTGACAACCTATGACAACTGTCAACATTTGGTGAACAATCATTCCCGATAGTCCATTTTACGCAAAAAATATGATGTTAATTTCTCTCTCTAATACTTGTACGCTTTTTTATTCAATACAACAGTACTTGTGACGTCAGTAACGATGGCTGATATTTGTTGATGGTTAGGGAAAATTAGTAGGAATAATTGTTGATGGACGTTCCTAAATAAGAAGCCGTTGCAATGTCAAGTGGCACAAGCTGTAAGTAATGAATGCTACTAATATTCTTACCTATGGAATCCGGCAACCAGTTGTGGTAGATCTGTTATTTGTATTCTTCTAGCTATAAGAGTACCTAAGCCACCACCTGCTATAACGCAGGCGGCCATTTGAGCTAATACTTCATTAGTAGGAGCAATCTGACCTAATGTTGCAGCAATTCCTCCTGCAACTCCAATCTACAAAACACACAAAATGCTTCGAATAATTAACAAGAAAAATTATTTGATCTCCAATTAGACTAGTCAGCACAGATATAATATATTTCACTAATAAATGTTGTAAATAAGTATCATTCGATGTCATAGCGCATTTTTCTTGCAAGATGTCCCAAATTGATTTTCAGCATAGGGATTATTCGTTAATACTCGCGCTAGAAAAGAATACTACACATTCATGTCCTTTTTTCAGCACCAGTTGTATTCAAAATTCATAATATTCAAATCTGTTTCAGTGTCACAGCTGAATTTTCGATTCAATGTTATTAAATCAGTCAAAAATTGGAAGTCAGTGGTGACACCCAATGAAATAAAAAAGAAGACTGAACATATTTTAAAATTCAATTTGTCTAAAAATTGATATGCTTGTTCGTTTTTAAAAGCGAGATGCTTTATACGAATAACCAATGCTAGTCACCTCTGTTACAGAGTAATTCATTTATCTTTGAATATATTAACGAACTGGCATTGTGTAAAGTGTCATATTTCACTCGGCTACGACTTCAAAAGTGTATTCTTTCAAATGTAGCCGCTAATATTCAACATAATTCACTATAAAAAATGAAGTGTAGCAGTTCATCATATAAAACTACTGGTAGTTTTTTATAGGGAGACATGGACTAAAGAGAGGAAAAAATATACTTCCAAAACAAAATACATACATGTTTCTGTGAAAATATTAGAACCTGATGTCGCGAAGACTAGTATCGAGGGGTCAGAAATTCATATTTTATTTAATCAAAAATGTTTTTTGTATGATATCATATGACATTCTCGAAAATAGTGATTGTGTCATCTTAATGACCCTTCATATAATCTCATTTTAATAAATATTAGATGCTTACTATTCCTAAATTATTTCCTAATCGCGATGTTGCCTGTGAACTAAGACCAGCTAGAGCTCCAACACAACATAAAGACGACGCTAAATAAGCAGCTTGGTGAATTTCAGCGAGACCGTTCATGGCAGCCCATCCATATGCTCCCATGAAGGCAGCAGCTGGGATTGCGTAGAGTGAGTTGTATTCTTTGGGATCATCTGGCCTGAAAAGTATATTCGCTTTCAATAAGCTTTATGTGATTATATACCAAAGTACAGAAGATATTTTCCTTAGCCGAGCTGTATTAGTTCCCAAGCATCGAGCAAGGGATACGAGATTGGTCTTTCGTAGGATCCCGTGATGCAAAATGACGTATTTGTCATCTAACAGGGTATGGACAGATCATAGCTCCTTTCTCTTTTAATCATCTAGTGACTTTCGTTTCGTGTAATGACGTTCCTGACATGACATTGCTGTCACGTCACATTCATAGGCGTTAAAAGAGATCTTACCAAATTTTAATTTCATACTTGACCTTAATACATCATTCAATTGTTCTGGAAGGATGGTAAAATATGCTGCGTTAGGCTATATCAATCAGTTGGATGGCAAATTTGAATTTGTCAGCTTTCCATCAAATGCAAATGAACTTAGAACATGAAAAGTGAAGTGACCGAATGGGGAAAATTGGTAAATACATCAGCAAAATATTCGAGGTAAAACTAATACGAAATCACATATTATACTTTCTCATTGTGCCTATAATTATCCACTCCACAAGTTTTTGAATGCATTTTAGCAGAAACAGTTTTAATTAAAACTCCTTCATCCATAGAACGGCTAGGCTCTGGAATTCATTGCCTGAGGAAGTATTCCCAACATACAATCTCCAGAAGTTCAAAAAAAAATCCAATACCTACCTCCTTTTTCCTTCCTTTCGTGCGATCCAAGCGATAAAAAAAATACTCTACCATTCAAAAAACAAACCTACATACAGGAAATATTAAGTGTTCGTGAAAAATTGCAAAAATGATTCCCAACATGAATATATACAGCACACATGACATATGAGCGCACATTAGTTTAAATACCTACATAAAATTTTTCACCATTTCTCAACCATGAGGCTTAGTCTGAAATCAAAATTAATTCATTGATAGGTACTGCCTAATAACAATCCCATTTGGTAAAACTTATTAAACTCTCAGAAAAATTTGCTCGCTGCCTCACAAAGATTATGCTGGAGTTGAAAAATCAAAAACTCGAAAATTATAATCATTTGGATATAATATGTTCAGTTGAAAGAGAAATTACAATCATGTGGAAATTACGTATGACACGCTCATGTCCTCAATATAACCTAAAAAACAACAAATGTCAGAAATCTAGTGTTTATCCCCAGAAATGAATGAAGATTGAACTATATAACTGTTTCACAAACACTTAAGAGTGAGAGGAGACAAGGATCTGTCCGTACCCTGTTAAGATGACAAATACGTCAATTTACATCACGGGACCCTAGTCTTCCGTACCCTGGTTCATATTTATTTTCTCCAATACCTACTAACTCTAGAACACAACATGTCTGCTATCTACGATATGAGAAATCGTTTCTCTTAACTACAGGTCAAGATCTCGGTACAGAAGAATTCTCGCATCGTTTCTTTATTTTTGTCAATGCAACTTTCTTTTGTACCTTTTATTTTATCTCTTGGTTTATAATGACTACTTTCCACTACTACCACGTATCTTACATTATTTTTACCTAAAATCTTCACTCTTTGTGAATAGAGTAGAGTGCAATGACAAAACATTTCTCTCTTACATACCCAGAACTAAGGATGACATTAACTGGAACATAACATACTGTGGGCTCAGACACCTTTGCAGCTAAAATCCTAATTTATAATGATTTTTTCTAGCAACTAATTACTTTAGCCTGTCCTAGGTAAGGATAATGCTTGTGAGATAGAAACAATTTGACCTCGCTTTTCATTGGTCTAGACGCCAGGCCGTTAGAATAAACTGAAAATCTATGGCCGATAACCTGGATTGCTTTGAAATTGTTCTTTACTTTTTTTTCACTATCTAGTCCACTCTCTGAAGTGGAATATAGGTATTAGACAAACAAAAATCAGATACACTACATTATGATTTAGACATCTTCACTAATGGACTAGATAAAATAGGTGATCCATAACTTACAGTGGGAGTGATATAAATCAGGAAGGGTGAAAGAACTTCGTCACAACTCCACCACATCAACAATTTAATAATGACCAAACGATAAAAAAAATCTGTAAGAAAAAAACGCTGCCACGTGCCCTCTGTGCCAAATAAATAAAAAAACGGATGCCTCAAAGCACGAGCAATTGGTTCACTCGGCACTCAGCCGGGTATAGGGTGGGTTTCGAAATTCTATAATGTTTCTAATTAAAAAAAATAATAAAGGGCGCCACCAACTTACTTCAGGCGAGTTTAAGTTGGAAAACTCCCTAGATATCAATAGGTTCCGTTTTCTACACCATTAACACACACGTCGCAATTATCAATCAATTGACGTTCTATTCAATTAAATAGGACTACGAATATTTCACCCAGTATAAGGAAAAATCATATGTCAAGAAAATATATCATGGTTTACCCTGAATATTCCACTATTTTATTGCCAACTCCAGATCATTTCCGAAACAGGAACTTGTTCAATATTTGAATTACATGAGATTGTTCACATGCATAAGTATATCGGATAACCCCCCTGTGTGTACACTCAGAGTTCACAGTTATTTGGTATTTCTTTTTGAAGTAAGGTAAGTATGATAAATGATTGAGAATTAAGCTCAAACAGGAATGATGATCCTTCCGGGTTGACTCAGTGGAACTTCAACAAAAATTAACCCCATGAATAAAAAAACATGCATCTTATCTGCGATAGGTCTTCCTTTGGAGGAGGGGCCTTAACCATGCATTTCCTCTCCTGGTAAGCAAAAGCAAGCAGTAAACTAATGTAAGCAGCAAGCCAAAATTCAAATAAGCAGCAACAGGTAGCGTGGTTCATGCAATAACTGACCGCTAGGTATGCAATATGGAGGTACTTCACACTGATCCAGTTGTATTATAGTACATGGAGTAAAAAGTAATTGGAAGCATAGATGCACCATACAATGGACTCAATCGGCCCATAGGACAACCCTAAAATCAATTTATATTGTAATTTTCGCTGAAAAGCTTACCGGAGTTTTCCATTATTCACCTCATGTGATCTTCGAGGGTACGAGTTTGGAAAAGGTTCGAGTACCTACTCGTAAAATGGCTGATAACTCGATCACGCTTTTGGTCGGCAGTGATAAATCCTTCTAGCGAAGAGCAATTTGCCAAATCCAAATATCACTACAGTGAAACGAAACACTATGGCAAAATTGATATTGGAGACAAAGTGAAAAATCCAACAATATGATGAAATGAAAATCCACAAAAATCAACTTTGTCTCACACTGTCCGACATTAGCGAGAAAAATCATCAACCTTCTTTCTCAGAATCGTAAATTTTCGCGTGATAAAAGATAGAGAATAGTGTCCTCTTCTATTCAGTAACAATCATTTCCAAAACCTATTTTGAAAAACTTAATAACAAACTTTCCTGACCAATGAGCATGAAAATATTTCCGAAAGATGCCGAATTACCCGTAAGTACACGAATACTTTTGACGATGACTTCTATGTCTGAAAGATAAAAATAACCAAACTGATGACAGCGAGCTACAGGTGATTTTCGTGCGTTTCGTGAGTTGCTATATCTTTATAGGCGCTGACGCAGGAAAGAACATGGCTGATACCAGCTGATCGACTATAGCTGTAAAGTTGCTGCATGACATGGAACGGATGAATAAGACAGAGATGAATAGCTGCTACCAGCTACCGCAAGGCTATGACTGAGATGTTATGACTTATGGTTAATTATTTCGTAAACAAACTAAATAAACATTTGATACAACAAAATTGAATCATAGATGATGGAAATCGAGATGGAAATCAGGTAAAATGTTCTTGATATTATATTAATTTCCATATTTTATTCATAGTCGTCAAATTATAATCAGATCAAACATAAATTGTACAGCGATTCTAATATGTATCTTGTTTATTCTAGGATCCACCGAGAGATCAACCCCCCTACGCAACGGAAACCACTGCCGCCTACCCCAAAGGAAATCTGGAAGTTCAGCCCAAGAACAAACCATGGAAATATACAGTTGAACAATGTTGAGTGGCATGACTGTCATTATGTTTGAAATAAAAATAACAAGTGCTTCTTTATCCTACCAGTGTATAGCACAGTGAATTTTGAGGATGGTTCATAAAGGGTCATATCGCAGGTTATTGTTCTCATTAATTGACGACTTGTGCAATGAGTTATAGGGTTAATCATTAAAACTATTGAAACTACCTAAAATATTAAATTTAAACGTTACAAATTCTCCCCCCACTTTAAAAGATTTTTCCCAAAATCTTTTGCAGGGTTCACTCATCAGGCGGATGAGCTTTTAAATCTTTACAATGCCACACGCCTTGGTTCTTATCCTGGGCATCCTTTAACTCGTAAGTCCACGGCGATAATCGTTTCGCAATCAAAAACGGTCCAACAAACTTTTTTGCCAGTTTGGCATTGAAATATTTGGAAGCATCTGACAACACATAATTACGACGCCATACTTGTTGGTTTGGAAGATACTGTTCATCGCGCCGGCGAAAATCATATACTTTTTTATTCTGCTCATAGGCCTTCGATAGCCGTTTCTGTACATCTTTGTATATTTGATCATAACTTTTGGTTCTACCGTCATTGATAGCGGACCTATCAAATTGAATTGGTTCAACATCATGTGTAGCACCCCCTCCGGCTCTAGCCTCACGACCATAAACAATGAAATTCGGAGAATAGCCAGTGACTTCGTGTTTTGATGACCGAATTGCAAAACCGATACGAGGTAAATTTTGGTCCCAGGACCTATGATCATCCGCGACATATGCTCGAAGCATAGTTTTGATAACACGATTAATCCGCTCACAAGGATTGGCTTGGGGATGATATAGAGCCGTATATTTTGCTGTGACATTATAGGATTTGAGAAGTTTTTGGAACTCTTTTGATCTAAACTGAACACCATTATCGATAATAATGGCATCCGGACATCCAAACACTAGGAAAACTTGATTCTCTAA